GTACCGCTCCTTCTACGGGGACGTGGACAGCCCTCTGCCTAAAGGTGAGGCTGGGGGGCCTCCAACCACTCGCGAATCAGAGCTGAAGCTCCGCTTGCGCCTGGTGGAGGAGGAGGCGAATATCTTGGGGAGGAAGATTGTGGAGCTGGAGGTGGAGAACAGGGGACTGAAGGCAGAGCTGGACGACATGAGGGAGGACAGGTACTGTGAATTCAATCATCAGATTCTTGATGGTTAAAACAGTTTTTGTTTGAAATGTAGTCACAGTTGTTTTGGAAAGGAAAAAGCATTTGGGAGAATAAAATCTGTCATTTGTGACAAGGAAAAAAGAAATGAGGGGGCAAGAAACTAAACTTGACTATCATCAATGCGTTTCTCCCCTCCTCGTCTAGTATGGCGGCAGCAGGAGTGGACGGCTCTGGCAGTGGAGGGCAACAGTGCAGGGAGCAGGGCGAGGCCCTGTCAGAGCTGAGGCAGCAGCTTCAGCTGGTGGAGGATGAGGCAGAACTTCTTCGCAGGAATTTAGCAGATGTGGAAGAAGAGAACAAAAAGGTAGGTCGTTTAGTTGCACTCAAAAAAGGCCAGATTTCCTCAACAGGCCCATTGCATTGGTGTCAATATCCAAAGACAAAACAACTGCACATACATTAATTGCTTCATTAAATATGATTGTACAGGAATAGTCTACTTTAGTTTCTCCATCTGGGACTGCTATCTAGCTTTCTGGCTTTCTGATATTATTAGGCAGCACAATGCTGCTGTAATTTCAGTGACGTAAGATGTCATTTTTAGGTGTCTCCTCTTTTCTGTGAATCTTTTGCTATTGTTAGTATCATCAATGACTTTCAGGGCTTTTATGAAAACGAGCTGTTATCTAAGCCTCACACAAGTGTGTGAACTGAACATGCACACAATACCAAACACAGATGGGAATAACATTCAGTTTTTTTCTTAAGGTGACAAATGAACTCAATAAACTGAAGTACAAGGCTGGATCCCATGAAGCTGGATCAAGACATGGAGGAGGTTGGTTTGTTTTTCATTTTCCACTGTCTTTCAATGTGCCATCGTTGCAGGAGATGGTACAACTGCACTGCAGAACAAGGAGTATCTTCTTCTCTTCTCTTTCAGCTTAATATATCAGTTTCATTAAGCCTCCAGGATCTGCACATTAAAGTCTCATTTACAGAAGTGTTCCACTTTTCATTGTTACCTTGTTTCAATCCCAGGAGGAGCTGACCCCGCTAAAGTGGAGGCCCTCCAGGAGGAGCTGAAAGCAGCGCGTCTGCAGATCAATGAACTGAGCGGCAAAGTCATGCAGCTCCAGTACGAGAACCGTGTGCTGCTCTCCAACATGCAGCGCTATGACCTGGCCTCCCACCTGGGCATCCGTGGCAGCCCGCGGGACAGTGACGCAGAGAGCGACGGAGGACGGGACGATGACACCCCCTCGGCCTCAGCTTCCTCCCCTCGCCTCCTCCCGCCCCACCGCAAGCGTGAGGGCCCTATTGGAGGGGAAAGTGACTCAGATGAGGTGAGGAACATCCGCTGCCTCACCCCAACACGCTCCCTTTACTCACCTGTGGACAGCCGTTTTTTATCCAGAAGCCTGAAGGACCGACAGCAGATGATAGACATCCGCATAGAGGCGGAGAGGCTGGGTCGGACCATCGACAGGCTCATCGCTGACACCAGCACTATCATCGCTGAGGCCCGAGTATACGTCACCAACGGAGAGCTGTTTGCCAGGCTGGATGAGGATGAAGAAGGTGGCAGGTAATAAAGAAATCAAAAACAGCCCACCCTTCTTTGTAACTACAGTTGTAGTGCAGTGGACTGTCGCTGTTTTGTGAAAACAGTTTGCATGATTTTTGGTGTTATTAAATCATTAATTCAGACCAAACATTCTCTATCTGTGCTCACCAGGATCAGAGAGCACGAGCTGCTGTATCGCATCAATGCCCAGATGAAAGCCTTCAGGAAGGAGCTGCAGACCTTCATAGACCGGCTGGATGTCCCCAAGCAGGAGGATAAACAGTCAGAGGAGCCGCTGTCTGTAAGCTGATGCAAAAATATACAAATGGATTGTACATGACTTCAATGACTGATGATTAGTGATTTTTGTCTTGTCTAATATACACTTATCTAACTTATCAATCTGCCTCTCACTTCCTCTTACCCCCTTTTTCATTATGTCATCCATCAAGATGTTTCAGCCCATTATTTTGCTGATCCTCATTCTTGTTCTGTTTTCCTCACTCTCTTATGCCACCATCTTTAAATTGGTATTCCTTTTCACCCTGTTCTTTGTTCTGTGAAGCACACACCCAGTATCATATTATGTTTTTCGTTATTTTTTTTATTTTTTGACTTATTCATTAATTTCAGTACTGTTATGTTGAACACATCACATGTCACAAGGTCACTCAAGGTACAGGACATTATCATTTTCCACGTATGACCCAAGCCACACATGTACTCAGATGCTTTCAGCGTTTACTGGAGAGGGAACACCGTGCAGCGACAGTGGAGTATTAGGTGAGTATGTCGTTAAATTGGATGTGAGTACTGAGCTCTTTGCAGACAATCTAAGTTCTAAATGCTACAGTCTCAAAGGCCCTACACACCCACATAGGTGTTTTCACTTAGTGTGCTAAATTAGAGGCTTCTCAGGACTGTGTGTGTGTACTGACTATGTTTGATTGACATCTGTCTCACTTTCCTGTTAGTTTATACTATTTTCACTCTTACTAGTGATTAGTTCAGTCCAGTTTCAATATGAGCAGATGTCTAATGAGCCACAATAACTGAAAACACCTGTGTGGGTGGGAAGGGCCTTTAAGTAGATTTAAAAATGTTACCATTGTAAGTGCTAAGAATCTGTAATATTGCTAACAGATACAAATATCTAGTTAAAAAGCAGGTATTTGTGGCTTGTGCACCATATTCTTGTTTATTTATCAGGTGACGTTTTGAATGGCCAAAGGTCAAAATATTTACCAACTCAACTATTAACCTACTTTGTATTTATGAGGTTTTCACATGACAGCAGCAGTAAACAGGTCTGTGTGCATTGTAAATACTGTTTGTGTCATGACTGTTGGGGCAATGCACACACACTTAATAATAACACTGATACCCATACACTCGCACACTGTCTGATATTGCAAGCATAGGGCCTATGTCTCTTGCAAGTTCTTCTTAGGCAATTAAACTGTCTGAGCCATGATAAGATGTCAGCATGTCAAATCATCCAGATGTCCATGGGAAATATGATAGGAGCAATGGCATTTTACCCACATTTGGATTTTGGTTGTGTGACATTCAGAAGTGTGTAACATTGCCCTTGGGTGGGTCTTAAACTCAAGCCACAAATGTGCTGATGTTGGATCAGTTTAACCCAACGGATCTGACCACCAGGATGGAGGCGGAACCGGTCCACTTCTTTCATCCCACCGGTGGGATGTTTTACGTCACATATTAGGGCCAGCTGTGGAGAGAGAGAGAGAGAAAGAGAGAGAGAGAGAGAGAGAGAGAGAGAGAGAGAGAGAGGGGTTTTATTCCCGTTAATGAAAGCATCATTTCAGCTGTAGGCTGTCGCTCTCCAGTTGTTTTTAACTAAGCCAATGCATTCCGATCCAGACTACATTTCAGCTACTTTGCTGGTGCAAATGTGGGCTCTTGTGGCTGTTTTTGAAGGAGGACATTGATTGCAACATTCAGGATCATAAGAAGAGGTAAGGGTCTGTTATTCAGCCCAGTGGCACGTGCTTCGTAGTTTTCTGCGCTCGAGCTGAACATTTTACTCAAACTGACACTAGAAAACCGCGAACATCACAAGTTTAGTGTAGAAAGCGAACTCGTGCGTGACTGTTCCTTAGCCTATACTTACTATGTATCGAGTAATGACTACGCTACGAATCAATGACGTTAGACGGGCTACTGTAAAGGCTGAGTGGCAACGTGTTATCATCTCAAATCAAGATGAATAAAATCCCACCCCTCTTCGCTTTCCTCGTGACAGTCATTCCCATCTCGTGCTATGATAGCAGATGAGAAATGGCAGAAGGCTGGAAAGAGTCCTGCCACGGATGAGAAAAGATTAAATGTACACACACTCGCTTTTATTACGGGCAAGGTAAGACAACTACTGTTTATTTTGCAAGACCATTACTGCGCCCAGGTCGTAATAAGTGGTTTGTTGTCTCTAAAATTAGTGACTGTTTGCGCACAGCTGTTTTTGACTATAAGTTTACCACGGCGTGGATGTGCTAATTGATTTGTTGCCATGGATACAGCGCAAGGTGGTATCTTGCGACGTAATTAGAGCAACCCGGTGTTGATTAATGGATGTTGGTCCGCAGCCTTTCCGCTTCAGCTTTCTGGCTTTAGGAAAATAAACTCATGGTTACTAGGGGGGTAAAAATACTCCGCTGCTCTTACATCAGTGCGCTCCGTGATATTTTTGGGATCTTCTCCCATTCGCGTCGGAGTGGTTACTGGGTGTCTGTCTTTGCCAGCTCTGGATTGTCGCCTACGACGACTCTGTGCAGGGCAGAGACACGACACAGAGCGTCCTGAGGTTTCGATGCAAACATGTAAAAGGAAAGCAGCGCGCGGGTGGAGCAGTGAGGAGGACAGCATGGGGGACTTTGGCACAAGGAACAACTTCTTGACCTTGTCTCTGTGAAGATATGGAAGGGACCAAAGCAGCGTCCTGTCCCGTCCCCTGTATGAGCACTGCGGTGACCGCTGTCCTGAGTGCTGCTGTGTGGCCGACAGGTGATTCGGCCGGGTTTGGATAATTGGCGCTTTCATTAGCCTATGCCACCGGTCACCAACTGAAAAGCAGTTTGAACTGAAAGTATGCTGATCTGTGTCAAAAATTATTTCAGGTTATGCAGAAATGGATACATACAAAACAGCTTGGTCCACCAGCTTCTAAAATTTTTATCTGATAAAATTGTTTTTGTTATGATTTATTTTGATGCCCTCGAGAAATGTGGAGTGCGTTTATGAACGGCTCGGGGCTGCATGGTGGGGGCGGTGCTGGCGGGGGATACGTCCCGTCTCAGGGATGGGAGTTTGTGCCGTGCTCCAGGATGGATAGGGCAGATAGAGGTAGGGGCAAAACCCGCAGTCCGCTGAGAAGGATCTCCTCTCCGCCCACCGTCTTCAGTCAAATCTACGAGCCACAGTTCGGTGCTTCACCGGGTGGAGGAGAAGGTGAACCAGGGACACAGCTTGAGATCCTAAGGGGACAAATGTGGCCGGGTCCCGAAGCCCAGCAGCAGCCGCAGCAGCAAACACATCACACACGGCTTAAAAAGAAATTTGAGGATTTGAAAAAGCGACACGTACAGGACAAGGAAGAGTGGATGCGTGAGAAGGAGTCATTGTTGAGAGAAGTGGCTGACATACAAGTAATTGGAACTATTTACCACCCCTGTGAAATCTATATATATAGATTTGTGTGGGCCATGGTTCTCAAAGCATGTAGCCTAATCTTTTTTTCTTTACTAATTATGTTGGTATGTGGGAAACTGGAGTTTGTCAGTGGCACTCACTAATAATAGCACGACATTGATTAGTGCTTTAAATGAAAAATTTGTTAATTTGATACTCCAGAACCAATTTTATTCCTTCTTAGTTCATCAATGATTGTTTCAGTTACATAGTTGGAAGTGCAATGCTATAGCCTAACTTCTGTTTGGGAAAGCAGACACAATTCATCTGGTTTATTTGGCTGACAAGACTGCTGGCAACTGTGTTTCCATGCAGGGAGGGGAGAACAGGAGGATTCTGCTGGACCTGAAGACGGTTTTGGAGGAAGTGCAGGCAGAGGTGAAGAGAGAGGAGGAGAAGAGGAGTGAGCTCCAGCTGCAGTACACCAGAGACAGATGTGCCTGGGAACTGGAGAAGGCTGAGCTCAAATGCAGGATTGCACAGGTAGGTGAGGGATGACAATAAAGGATGTTTGGGGCTTTGGGTAGGGTTTGTTTGTGTGTGAGTTAGTAGAGCAATGTATGCATTACTTTATATATAGTTCTGTGTGTGTGCAGGTGCATGCTCAGTATGAGCTCAGTTATCCAACAACAAAGAGAAATCTAACAACTGTACTGCACATAAAGGATGTTTCATTTTAATAGTTTCTCTATAGCTTATATCACATTTGTATATTTTCTCATGTCTCTGTATAGCTGGCTTACAGTTTGGTGTAAATTGGGCATGCCATGTTTGCCACCCACATGGCAGGGTGATAAGTCAACCTGGCATCCATCCAACTCAAGCCTCAGCTTAGACAAAAGATTTGCACCGAGGAGACAAACTCAGTTATCCCCGCTCAGCCAGACATAGACACCCAGCTTGGCTTTTAACAGCTTTCTCTCAACAGATGAAACGTTAACCTATTTTTACCATGGGCAGCTACTGTGAAGTGTTTCTTGAAATGGGGAGAAAATACAAGGTTAAGTGTGCATACCAGTGCCATGCTGTATCAGGCATTGCACAGATCACTTGAAGCACCGTGCATAGTTATTCTTCAAAGCAATGTGGCTTTTAGGGATTTAGCTTTTTTTTCTGGTTATATCAGAGGATGGATTTATTTGGTTGGCCTAGACTAGAAAAGTCTAATCAGACTTGTTCACTGTTGAGTTTAAAAAAAGAAAAAAGTTTTGATTCTGTGAACTTTGTTCAGAGTTGGCGTTGTCTGTGCGCTGACTCTAGTTTTTCTGTGATGTTGTGGTGACAGTATCTTTATTTGCCAGTTGAACCTCATATGATTCCTATCACAGACTTAAAACTGATTGGTCACGCATTCACTCATCGCACACAGCTCTCGCTTCTAGCTACTAAAAAAAATCAATGACTGAAGTGATGAAGCTCAAGAATTCCACAACATGGTGCTGGAAATGAACAAGGTGGTGCAATGATGCTGAAAAGTAGTTGGACAAGACTACTGATGACACAGAAATGCAACACAGTAACATGGCTTTACCAGATCACACACTTGTACTATACTGTAGACGACCATAATATAATTCCCTCTGTGTGAGTAGATGGCACAATGTTACTGTTCAGCTCTTCTCTTTTTGTCCTGCTGGCTCTGTGCCTTCTCAGTGTGGTTGACGGAGAGTCTTATAAAAGCAGACGTTTACTGTTCTGCTTTGTGTTTGAAAAGCCCAGTGAAGCAGTGGGAGACAAGGCTTGATGTACTGCAGGAGGTTATACCATGATGCCACATACACACACACACTGATGAATGCCAAGATGCCGATGTACATGTGAGACATCTGTGTTAGAGACAGTCGAGTTTGGAGAATCATGGAGATCAGGACGCTTTGTTTGGGACAGGAGAGGTGTCTGTGTCTCTTTTTTTTTTAATATAAATTGGGGTCCAAAAGTCTGATCCCATGTGTGTCCCATTCCCTTCCATGGGAAAGTGGTCTCAGACTCATGGAAGTCTATCGTTGTCTATGTGTGTGTGAATATTCAAAATATACAGTAATTTTGAATGGAGCACGTAGACAGTTTATATTAATTTAGGAAAATGACTTGGAGTAAAGCCACAGTGGGTGGGGTTAGCTCCATTGTAAAAGTTGTTTTGTCTTGATGCCACATCCTGCCATAGTTTATACTTCTGGGTACATGTTTACCAAGTGCTAATCTGAGGCTACTCATGAGGTTCAAAATACATCAATTCAAGTTTTCTGAAATCATTCACAGCTCTGTAATCAAATGGCTAATTTATAGACTTCGACCTGCCCTCATGTTGCAGTTTAAAGTAAATGTGTCTATTTGTTCAAGAAAGTAGTATTACATGTAATTTGGGTGTCGATTTTAGACCAGATTGCTGAAGTTATACTTTTTACAATCCATGTAATTCACACTTTAATGATAGATTTTGACAGAACATTAAAACAGTAGCCTGATAAGCAGACTGAATTGTCATTTTGTTTCACCTCACTTAAATTATATATTAATTGCTGAACAAATCAGATGTTTGTGGTGATTCAGAGGTTTGGAAACAGCCTAAAAAATAGACAAGAATGCATGCAATTCAGTGGAAGGCGGTCAGCAGAGCTGAGTGTGTGTAACTCCATATCATTTTGAAGTGACATGTGAACAATTTCAACATGGGTGAGAAACTCCTCTGTCATTTTCCACATGTTGGCTTCACTTTACCAGTGCAGAGGAGAGCTCATTTTTAGCTCAGGCAGAGTGAAAACAGAGGGTGCTGAAGAGGTAGAAGGTAACTGTAAAGGCAGTTTGAATGCTGACAAAGATGACAATCCAGAATAGCACTGAGCTGAAAAGTATTTGTAAAATTAGCAGGTATGCCTGAGAAGAGCCCTTTGATGCAATCAAGTGAATTTGTGATACAGTCTGAGAGCTACACTGGACTATTCTGGCAGTAAACTTATTATTCCACTGCTATTGCTTTTGTTTGTTCATTAATGCACTTTGATGAGAGACTTTTAGCACAGTAGCACACAGTCAGAGGGAAGGACAGAATACTGCAGAGGATTATCCAAGCAGCCAAGTGTATACAAACCTGGAGTTGGTGAATTGGTGGTGGAAGTCAAAAGAAGTGGTGTGTACTTAAGGAAATGGGTCCACTGAGTTGGAATTTTGAAGTTGTTTTTTATGCGAAACTGTGAGGGAAATAGCATTTGCTTCTCTTCCTGATGAAGTCCTCATTATCCCTTTTTAACCAAGAGAGTCTGTTTAAATCTACAGACTGAACTGCTACTTTTATAAATTGAATTTAATGTATAAAATGTCCATGCCTTACTTATTTTTCCATTGTTTTAGCTGTGGTTAGCAGTTAGTTGACATCCATTTGTTGGTCATTTGATTCTTCGAGAAACTGGAGCTGTGTATCACAAACAGTATAGCCAAACAATTGCATCATTTTGACTTTGCCTTGGTTGGTGCTGTATGTCATACATTTGCTATACCAGATACCAGATTATAGGCTCTAATTAAAGTGATTCTATAAAGCATCAGCATAGCTTGTCAACAGTTGCATGCTTGTTTTATTCTCAATTTCATTGACACCCTATTTTCCACAGTAGGCTGTGAATGTAACTACTGTAAGGTGTTTCTACATCCTCTTTGGTCACGTCTACCACCAAATACCAAGCAAGCATCCAAGGTCCCAGGCAGAGGTCTTAGTCTGGATATTTCCAGGCATATTTCTCTGCATGCCACTGATTTATGAAAGTTGCTGGCAGCTAGGAGACATCTCACTCTGCCTTAGCAGCCAACTTCCCCTCCTCCCTTTACCTCATCTCTCCACCTCCCCTAGGAATGTGACATTGTACAAGGCTGTGTGTCCGCTATTTATAGTGGGTCACCGTGGTGACACAGTCACCTTTATATACCCTGTGCCATACGGTGGCAGCCAGGGTGATCAAGAGTAGCTCGAGATGGCTCCCTGAGACTGATTTTAAGTTGTGTCTGTGTGCATGAGTGTGTATTCCCTGAGCTGGCTGTGATGCTGTGAACCTGTGTCCCTGTTTGCATGTTCAGTTCCTCCAGAACTTCCTTTAAGCAGATGGCTTGGCTTTGCTGTTTTTAATCAATAAAAACGTCTTCAGCTCTTTTATTTTGACTCCAACCATTTTCTTTTTGCACTTTCACTATTTGTTTGCATTTGGATGTTTAAATAGACTGTGGACAGCACCCATCATCATCCATCTGTAATTGTGGAGAACTTTGAGAAGAGCCACAGGCAGACAGAAAGGGTTGACTTGTTTTCCTACACCATAATTTCTTGACCCCAGGCCACAGGCAGAAATAGCACCATGACCGAGGCTTGTAAGAAGGCTTTGCTCGATGTCTGTGACTGAACACTGAAATAACACACTCTGGCATGCTTGTGTTGCATTCTCTCCCTCTTTCTAACACACACTCCATGCACACATGCATGATCACACACACATACACATGCACACACATGCACACACACTGAGACACAAGCATATATGCACATGCACAGGCGTTGTCTTGGGCTCTTTACAGTTCCAAAGCCAACCACCACCCCCCCCACCCCCCTCCGTTTTTATGAGAACAGAAATGTTCATATTTACCACTGAATGCACAGATCTATGCACTAAAACACACCCTTATTCTTAAGTACTTTGAAAGAGGATATTCTCTACATCAAAGAATTTCCTTTGTAGAGGACATATCAGATTATCTACAGACTACCAAGACTTAAATCTTTGATGTTATCAAATTTGGCCAGTTTCTAAGCTTCTTTTTTAACAGTGAACTCTGGAGTCTGACTTCGTAGTAGAATCTAAATTGGAGCATAGTTTTGCAGCATTTCTTTTCATTCTAAATAAACCGATAACGTGTTTTTGGCTCAAGGTTTTGGTGCTAACACAGTGAAATTCCCAGGGGAAATACCCAGGGTATTTCAGTGAAAAAGGTCTTTGAACTCATTAATATTGTCAGTAAAACAAAAATGTCCAGTTGAATATAATACAGCTGGCATTTTTATAATGTCCCCGTTGAAAGGAATAAGAGGTTTAGCCTAATTTATGTTAAGAGAGCCTCTTTGTATTAATCGATGTTTCTCTAAAAACTGGTGCACCAGAGTATCATCTGCCTGAGACCAGATGAGACCACATGCATCCTCTGCAGACATATTTTGCTGTGCTTGAATCTGCCATATCCTGCACTGTATCCTGTTAGTTAGTGAAGTACCACAGAAAAGAGACCTGACCTCTGAACCTATGATCTCTGCGTGTGAGTTCTTACAGGATATTTTAATCTTTCACTCTTGTCTCCTCTCTCCCTCTTCCCTTCTCTGAACCCACTCACACTCGTCCCCATGGTGCATTATTCCCCCACTTCCTCCACCTTCTCTTCCTGCCACTCCTTCATTCTCTTAATTCCACTGTTAACTGTCTCTCACTCCTACCTTTCTTGCCGGCATCTGGCTCTCATCCTCTTTTTCTGCAACTGCAATCTATCCTTTATCAACACTGACTGTTTCCTCCACTGCCTTTCCCACTCTTTCCCTTCCCTGCTCCCTTTTTTCTCCTCCTCTGTGTTCTCTGCTTGCGCTGTCTGTTTCTTTCTCTCCAGTTGGAGGCTAGAGAGGGTTCTGGGTTAGTGAGTGGAGGGGTCCAGTCAGCAACAGGTCCTGGCTCTGTGGCGTTACAGAGCACTCGAGACCAGCGCGGTGAGTCCCCATCCCTCCGCTGGGACAGGGAAGAGCAGCGAAGGCTCCTGGCAGACACACACTCAACAGCCATGGACCTGCGCTATCGCCTGGAGCACAATGAGAGGGACTGGTTAAAGGAGAAAGCCGAGCTGCTGGAGAGGTTTGACGTTGAGAGGAGGGAGTGGGAGAGCCAGTTGAAAGATATGCAGAGGAAAATAGAAGAGGTAAGATGTGTGGTTGAATGAGTATATATCTGCATTTTGTCAAGGTTTGATGATTTGGTTTGTGGTTACGGTTCAATTTATGTTGGATTTGGTAAAAGTAAACCACACAAATTACTGTGGATAAAGAAAACCTCCAAAAGTATGTAAAACACATTCCAGACTTCTCCATATTTTTAGGTCCTATGCATATTTAACTGTTCATCAATCTTAGGACGTTTTCCTACCTTGTGTATGATATATGGTGTCCTGTGCACTAAGAGTGTTACATTTCCCTCCTACACATCCTGTTCAACCATAAACACTGTCAAAACAATACCCCTGATCAGCGCAGCTGCAGAGTACGAGGAAAAGAAGGAGTGGAAGGAAGAGGGCAAGAGTTCTGCTGCTATTATATGACCTCTGGTCACTGAGACAGATGCAGTGATTAAGACAGTCTGTGCCTTAATCATCACTGGAGTGGACTTTCACTTTGGTGAATGGTTAGAATAGTAGTAATCATAGTACATAGAAACAATTAGACAATTAACAAAAATACCAAAAATTCACTTGTTTGAGTTTCTCAAGAGATATCATTTACATTTACATGATAATCTACATGACAGTGAATCTTCTTGCCTTAGATAACAGTAAATCATTTTGGGTTTTGAGTTGTTGTTGTTTGGACAAAACATTTTATAGACCAAACATTAAACCAATTCGTTGACCAGGCATTTAGCAGATTTACTTATAATAAAAAATTAGTTTCAGGCCTAATGGGAACTTTTGCAGCTGGCTGGGTTAAAATGGGGGATAAACTGTAACAGGACACACAGGGAAGTAATTCAGAGCAGATTGATGAGGGAGGGACAAAGGTAAAGAAAGACAGTTTAGCATGGGTGGTGACAAAGCCCCAGTTTATCAGCAGATTAAAATCTGACACGCCCAGAAGAGCAGATAAATGTTTTTATTGAAGGAAGCCATACACAAGTAGTTGGACAGAGTGCGAAGGCACTGAAACAATTTGCTATGAAAAGAACATGTGGCTCTCATTTGCCCCTTAGAGACCAGAAAATGAGAGAGGAAAACAGCAGAGGAATAAAGCAGGCTACAAGGCAGAAGTCCCATCTAGACATTGCGTGATGGGAAGGGAGCCCAGTCAACATGAAATAGTTACTATTTTGAGAGTCTATGGTAGCAGGCCAGAGGTTATCCAATTTTATGTGAAAGAATTCTTGGATGTTTTTTTTTACTCCTCTTTGGTCTAAATATGCTCACAAGATTTGTTGCTAAGAAATTTTGCCTGACTTCTCATCATCCCATATTAGTTTTTGATTATGCAGGAGTAGTAGCTACAGGATAGTGCCATTAGTATAATCAAATGATGCCATTTACATTCTTTATATTGTTTGAGCTTTTCATGCTTGACTCATATATATCCTCTCATTCTAAGCATCCAGTAAAAGTGGAGTCATTACAGTCATCATGTAGGCTCTTGTCTCAAAATCTAAGCCTCTTTGAACACATTGCTTTGACTTAGATGTACCTTTGTGATCTCATAGATGATAGAATAATATCACTGATAAATGTCACTATTTAAGTAAAGAGTTTTTTTGTTCATATTTGGCATATTTGACTGATAAATTTACTACTCTATTTAACGTAATATTGATTTTGATCAATTAATCCAGAATCTAATCTTCAAATGCACCTTTAAAAGGACACATTTTAAAAACAAAGGGCAGTGTTTGCTTCATTCATTGTAAGACTGTTGCTGTACAGCTGAAAAAAAAAAGATGACCTCTATTTTTTCTTCCCATTACCAGCTGTACTGTGAAGTGAGAGCCAAGCGAGAGGGGACCGGACCGGACAGTGGAAGGCAGGACGATGATGATGTTATGCATAGGCTCAGTATACGTTGCACCAGCACAGGCTCCAGTCTGCTCAGTGATAACTCCCGCTCTGAGCCGCTCAGCAGCAGCAGTCAGTCAGAACCAAGCAGACAACTACCATTTCCTGGCTTTGGTCGCAACAGAAACATCACTGGTGGTGGTTGTAGTGGTGGAGGTAGTGACCAGCCCACGTGCTTCCCAGCTGAAAGCCTCTGTGAATTTAATGTTGGTGGTCAGTTTACTCAGAATGACCATTCACAACCTGCGCTGGTGGATGAACTGAGATCCAGAGGCACTTGGCAGCAGGACTGTGTTGATGATAGCAGGGACGCTGTGGATACAACAGAGCTGGATGATATTTTTCTAGCAGCTCCACAGAAAAGTGCCTCTAAAGGGAATGAAAACAACTTCCATGTTAGGCCACAAGAAAGTCCTGTTTGGTCAGAGCTGAGTTATGGCAGTGACAAGAAGAACACCACTGCACTCAATGCCGTAAGAGTTTTAAACAATTTTCATATTTGATAAAAGCACTACATTTACATGCAATACAGACACATGGTGTGGTTGTCATCGCTTGCTTTGTCCTTACTTCTTTGCTCTGCTGTCTTATACTTGTTGTTTGATCATCAGTGTTCTTGTACTTGCCTTTGCATTCCTTAGTTTCTTTGAAGAGAGAATCCTCGTGACCCACCATTTCTTTTTTACAGTTCCTCAGCAATGTCCAGCATCCTATCCAGCACGTGTCTTTGTATCTCTGTCTCCCCTTCTCTGTGTCTCAGGCTCTGAAGGAGATAGCACGTGTAAGCGAGGAGCTTTGTAGCTACCAGGATGAGATCAGGAAGAAGAGCGGAGATAAGAGGTGAATAAATCCTCACTGCTATGTTAACTTCCTGGCACCAATATGGAACTATGATAATCACTACCTGCTGAGTCTTGATGTGCTTATGTAGATAATCTCAATACCATGTTTGTTTCAGTGCTGTGAATGAATAATAGATCTTTTAACATGTGTCTCTGGAAAAATGGCCTCAAATGAAATTAGTCATAAGATGTAAATATTACATAGATTGTTTTTGAAAATCATATTTTAAGTGAATGGAGTAATTAAAGTGGACAACAATAACATTTTACTGTTTAATTCCTTTCAGGAATCGATCTGAATCCCAGTGCCTAACTGAGGAGGTGAATGAACCTCTCTGTGACCTCAGCCAGATCTACGATGACCTCCGGGCGTTGGAAAGGGAAAACTGGATCACCTTGTCACCAGATAACACGGGGCAGGCCAACAGAGCTCCAAGTGAATCCTGGAGAACAAGTGCTGTTGAGCCGGACAGCTACAGAGACACACAGACAAGCCCTGGAGTACTCTCTGAGATAGATGCAGCAGCTCCACCCATCCCTCCTCGCTCCTCCTCTTGGAATCTGAACAGCCCTACCCATCCAGACACAGAACTCCACATCCCAGAATCCCCCATGACGACAGTGAGGAAATGCCATAGCCCCTGTGTTCTAGTGGACAAAAAGTGTAGCAGCCCCTCCATCGTCCGGAAGTTTGGGGCCATGCTACAAGAAAATGAAGGAAAAGTTTTAATAGACGGTGTGGTAGCATCATGCTCTGTACCTGCTAACTCTCACTGTAATATGGGCTGCTGCCACAGCCGCTGGTCCTGTGATGCAAGCAAGTTCAGTAACAGTAAGTTGTCTGCATATGGGACAGTACAGAAAAGCTTCTCTGAAGTCAACATACTGAGTCCTGGGAAAGACTTGCGCTCAGATAACTTAAATAACCCTGAGCTACAAATGCCTCCACTCGTCAAAGAATTATCTGTAGATTTGCTCTTGTCCTCTCTGGAAATACCACCTGCCAGCTCCAATCTCCAGGGCTCTAGGAGAAACATAATGCTGGAACAAAAAACAGCTGAGTTCAATAGAACTTTGTTTCAAGCTGAGATGGGCCGTGGTGTAGAGGAACAAGACAGCTTTACTGCAACAGATGCCTCCTCTCTGGGTTGCCAGCCAGTCCTTACAACATCAGAAGAGGTTTTACCTCCCAGGGAGACCAAATTTCAGCCACATTGCACTGATGTCACCACTGGTGTTATGGGTGTGCATCCCGAAGTCACTCTTTCCACTTCGGATTCCACAATTCAGAACCTCGAGGTCCAACCAAGGCGAATGAGATGTGGTTTTGAAGGTCAAGAGGTCAGAATAAAGCAAGAAATCCCTTGTGACCTTTCACCTGAACAGTCACAGGTTGGACTCAGGGACGCTACCACAATAACCTCTCTGAGTCCTGCATGCCGTTCTGAGGTCAAGCACAAAGTTCAAACAGCAGGCAGTCCTTCCAGGAAAACACAACACAAAGCAGCCACAGAGGCTCTTTTTTCTGAGCCTGTCTTGCCTGCAAATAGCCAGCCAGCTCAGAATGTGGAGGTTTCCAGCTCTAAGAATGAGAATCCACAAGGAGCAAAGCCTCAGCCAGCCAGAGTGGGTGTCTCACTCCAGCAACCGCCTGCAGAGAACAAACAAAGACAGATGACACAGCCAGGGCACCAGGCACAGCCAAGGCATGTGTCTGTACCTCCTTCCCAGTCTGACTCCTCCAGACATGGGCCTCGAATGATGAATGACCATCCCTGGAAGCCCCTCACTCTGGCTGCATACCCACGGCCTGAAGGGTCCAGGTCCAACTACGGGGCAGTGGAGAGGATTCTGAAGAATTATGAGAGTGCAGCTCGGGCTCAGCAAAGCCAGAGCCAGCAGAGCGAGACGACTTCAAGTCCTCACCTTAGTGTCAGGCAGGAGGAGAACATCACAGAACTGGACATGCTGGACATGGACCCTCTGCCCTTACCCCCTACTCTGAGACACACACAGACTTCACACACCTCAAGGACACACACCACACATGCACAGCTCAGCCACACTGCCATGGGCGTGAAAGAGATACAGCTTATAGTGCAGGTGGGTAGAGTCTCAGATGAACAGTCTGTTATTCACACTTTCACATATAAGCACCCTCCTTGCCATGCAGCAGGTGTACTTTTCACTGTACTGATGATAACTTCAGAGGCACCCTGTTGGAATGAAATGTGTCAGTTGTATTTTGTTTTGACGAAAATATAAATCAAACTATATTTCCAAGGCCAATTACACCAGTGGACCTGGACGAACTTGCACATTTCGTTCTGTTCCACTACGCTATGAAATACTAAGCAATTGCCCTTGACTGAGGACAGCTCCGGTGGGAATGTTGTTTATTTCTGGTATGTGCTAAGAGACAGAAGCAGGCCAAAGCCTCCATTATAATCTGGGCATCTGGGCCATTCCATTGCTTAAAGGCTCCGAACAAAAGGAACTGGCAGTGTGGTATATAAAGCATTTAAACTTGGCAGGAGGTGTATCACCCTCACCAACTTGTCTTTTATCTTTCAGTCCTTCCATGGGGCCTCGTAGTGGAAGTGTTTTTCTGGCCTTTGTGTTGTAATTACAGAAGTATCTGCAAGAAGCCAGCTGACTAAGTGCCCTTGTCGAACCGTGGAAATGAGAAAGCTGAAGTGATTACACTGCTTTAAAGTCATGCAAATGTTAAAGAAATTGTGGGAGCGATTATCAAGCCAATTTTATTTGACCTCATGAAAAGAATGTCATTACAAGCACCACATTAGTTTAGCCTCAATCAGGGAGCACTGTCCAAAATAAAATGTGATGATTGTGAGGTGCTGGTAAGTGGCAGCAGAACTGCAGCACATGTAAGGTATTTCAGTTCAGATGCTTTCCTCTAGACCAAAAAGGAATGGGATCTACTTGTGTGATCTTTTCACATGAGTGCTGGATTCATTAATGTTCCTGTTTGAAATATGCCTGTTGTTTTCCCTAGGATCAAGAAGACTACAGATGGAGCACGTGACAAAATGTAAAGTATCTGTGTGTGTGAATTTGATTGTTGACAGGACGGTGTGATAATCCTAAATGTTAATTCATTTGTTTCTCCACAGGAAAACGAAGAGTCTTGTGTCTCCTCTTCCTCCGTCCAGAAGAACTTCTCGAGGCCTGCCCGTCCAGCCAACCGCCGCCTCCCCTCCCGATGGGCCAGCCGCTCCCCCACTTCTTCCTCCTCCACCTCTTCGTCTCCCTCTACCACCCCCGTCATGCCGCCGTCCTTCTCCCTCCAGAAACACACTTCCTCCTTTACCTTCTCACACGCCTTTCACATAGAGACTGTCATCATTTGATCTCCACCCCACCATGTGTTTGAACCAACCAGAAGCCTTCAGTGATAACCTCTGAACTTTCTCTTTACATCAGTACTGTTGTATATATCAAACCCAGACTGCTTCTCCACGCCCACAGACTCAGAAGTGTACTTTAGTCGTGAGTTCACGAACTCACCTTTAGAATGTATATGGCATCCAGAGGAGCCTAACTGACCAAGGAGAGCAAGTAAAGGACCTGAAGCAGCTTGAGTTATTCAGCAGTATGCTCCTGATCAACCTGCCAGGCATCAAGCATAGCCTCAGAGGACAGTCAGAACATCACTTTCCAAAGGAACAGTCACATCCAGTGCGTCATTCATTCATGCCAACCATCTGAATGGATATCCTTTGCTCAGGTCTAGATTCTAGCCTTGAATAGTGTAGCCTTGCAGATTTACAAACAACAGACTCATATTCAAATCATCAACAAACTGAGATGCAGAACGATGTATTTAATATGTGCTGTGTTTTGTATTTCATGTGCAACATGTTTTGTGTGCTTTTTGCACAGAATATGACGTGACGTATACAATATGCAGCATCATGTTGGTTTCAGAGATAAAGGCAGCGGAGAAGATTTCCCCTGGCATCACTCTCTGTGTGCTGATAAAGCAGTGTTGGTTTTCTGCCTTCTTAAATATTACCTACAGTACATGCCTGGACTGTACCTTGCCTGTGACTAAAACATTTTCCTTTATTCTCATGACTGGCTTTATATGTTTCATGATTAAGCAAAAACAGCATTTACTTGATATCAACAGATAGATTAAAATGTGAGTTCCTTTTTTATAACTTTGTACCAAAGGCTGGTTTCTTTATATGCATTTTCCTGATTTGAAAAGTAAATGCATTGTTTGTAAAGACATTTGTGTTGGCTGTCCCATAGCTGATGTTTTCTGATCGAAATGTATGTTAAATGTCACTCATGAGAGCCTGCTTTTGTGCATAACATAAGTAACGCTTATAAAAAATACTGAAAAGCCTTTTTTCTACTTTTACTAATTCTGAATGGTCACTGATCAGGACACTCAGCCGAGTAGTATAGTTTTTTTTTTTTTGGGTCAAAGTGGTGAATCATATCATGATGAAAGTGATGCCTTTGCTGTTCTTTTTGTGTAATAAACATAAGAACTTGACCAGTCCTCTTCTCTTTTCACATCCCACACAAGTATCTACATTTGTATTAGACACAGTAATTGTGATTTGGTCTCACTGTGCAGCTTAAACTGATTTATTTGTCAAATAATTCTCTCACACTTTTAAAAATGTTTTTATAGGCAGCTTAAACCCATTTGTGAAGTGTGACTGAAAGCCCTACTACAACATAACACATTATAAAGAGAATATTATTAAGTGGTATTTCAAAAGTTAAGAAGCCCTGTAGACAAACATCTGATTTCATCTGTATCTTGTATTTTTTTTTATTTCCAATTAGCTCCAACAATTTAGTTCACGAGCTACAACCTAAGCCAACCACTGTGCAGTTTTCAAGCCCCACTGCAGGACTCTTTAGCCTGCAGAAGGAGCAATAATTTAATAAGTTCTGAACATCAGTTAAATGCTGCACATAAATATTTCTGTGACTGCTTGAAGAGGACTCCTAGGCGAACGTTCAACTCAGAGATGAAGCACCAGAACCGAATGACTGTCTGGCTCCTTCAATCTTGGTGGCTGACATCTCTGGTGACACTGATCTCTTCCTCTGAGTGATGACTGCAGAGCTGCGGGACAGCAGCAGAGGAACCATTCATCTCTGTGATAGTGTGAGTGTGTGTCTCTGTGCTTTTATGTTTGTGGACAGTATGTATGTATTCCTCTATAAATGTTTTATTCATTCTTCTATCTAAATGTTTGATTTTGTTTATGTCACGTGGTGCAATGAGCAACATTTTACTATGTTTCTACAGAATGAAAATATCTGTATTATTTTGTAATTTTACGCCACTATCTGATAAATGAATCAGTTTTGCACTTCTACATGCCCATTCACTTATATAAACATACAAAGGGACACACGCGGCCATACACACCCTTGGACCTGAGAGGGACAGACACCTAACCCCTCACCCTGAAACCTGGCACCCAAGGCTGACTGAAATAACAGGTGCAACAATGTTATGGTGCCAGAAATCCTACCCCGGCGCTGATATAAATATTGTCATCCTCTCCTGATGCCCTGACTAGCGCTGTGTTGGCTGTCTCCCCCTGTTTTCCTGTGTCAAGGTTGGGCAGGAGTGTAGATTCCAAGCACTGGCCTGTGCTCAAGTGTGGAGGTTTCCAGATGCTGAAACCGTTATATAACCGGCACTAACTGTTTTAATTCCAGTGCTGCTTAAAACACAATAACACTGGAAAGAATTTATGGAACAATCTGTATTTTATCCTGCAAGCATATGCTGCTACAGTGACATAACAAATGATTGACATCAAGTGTAACACAGCAGCTACGTACAGCAGTTTGCCAATAGCTACTGGCAAAATAACACTGCCTTTATTTGTGACATTAATAACAGTGATTGTAAGGATGATGATATTCAAAAAAAAACATTTTTTTTACAACAATTTAATACCTTCTGTGTTCATATACTTGTTACAGTAAATGTATAATGTGCATTAAAAGTAGTAATGGTAAAGTAATAACAGTTTTCCTGTAAATCTGAACTTTTATTGATGCATGTGACTAATCAGACTGCTACATACAGCTTGTTTCCATTGAAGCTCCAATAAAATTCCACATCCACACAGACACATAACACCCATTGCCTTGCACACAATTTGATCTGATCTGATCTGTCTAGACCAAAGCAGGTCCTGTCTGTAGTCTCCCTCTTCTTACAACTTTGAGTAAACAACCTTGAGTGCAATTTTCTCTCTCTGTATTGCATAGGAATCCTAATTAGCAGTTGTGCCCTTTCGGTTGTTGACTGGTGTCAAGGCTATGTTTTGACTAGCGGCTTTCTGTGTGTCCACTGCCTTGTTTGTTTTTTCTACAAACATGGTGAAGCTAGACAGTATGCAGGGTTAACTCTGACTGGCCTGCAAGGAAGCTGTTAGCCATGGTTAGCCTTCTATTCACTGCAGGGCATTGCCAAACATGGTTTGTCTTTGCAGAATATTTCTGTTTTATTCCAGTAAAGATTTGGTTCATTATAAGCTACATAGGAATTATTTTTGAAGTTTGGGAGATAACAATAAAGTAGTTAAAGTAAATACTACTTTTGGCAGAGGGTTATGTTTTTCCTGTTTAAGGAAATACACAATACTCATTACAGTATGTGGCTGCATTGTCTTCCAGTGGTCTGTGCATTTTGAGTTGCTGCACTGATATCCTAGTTGCTGCTGCTGTTCAAAAATGTTCATTGGCCCTCCAGTGTCTCCTGGCTCTCCGTCCTCCAGCTCCACTCCTAACAGGAAACCTTCAGCTCCAGAGAGCTTCTGGCACCTGCTAACCTGCCATTCTTCCTGCCCTGAAATAGACTGGCTCTTATTTGATCTCTCTCACTGTGTGTGTGTGTGTATGTGTGTGTATGTGTGTGTGTGTGCGTGTGTGTGTGTGTGTGTGTGCGTGCGTGCGTGTGTTTTCTTATCTTGGGGAGCTGGTATATGGCCATGCTGACTGCAGTGAATTCCCTGACTTCCTGTGGAGCCCCAGACAGCTGCATATCGATCAGTACACTGATGCATCACTTTAGAAGCCACAAGCAGTACACACACAACCACACAATGATACAAACACAGACATACTGTACATGCAACAACATTTATGCATATAGACAAATGTGTGTAAAATATGCATCTCTCTCTCTCTCTCTCTCTTTCTCTCTCTCTCTCTCTCTCTCTCTCTCTCTCTCTCTCTCTCTGCCATTAGCCAGGTTGTAATTTCAGACAGGCCTCCATTATCAGCAGGAGTCTGTGGCTGCAACACTGATATCTGAATGGATCATAAAACAGCAGGGCTGACTTCAATCAAAATGGCTGAAAAGGCTGGGCAGAGGATAAATGAATGTGGACAGGCACAGTCAGAAAATGTTTTCAGTTAAGTTAAAGTTTATGAATGAGGAGAAACAGTCTGGACAGGTTGCCAGTCCATCGCACACTTGACCTGGATAGACAATCACTCACACACACATGGGTGATTTAGACTCCAGTATGCATGCAAATTCCATTAAGCCACCATGTCCTCCAGGTGCTGCACTTCACAGAATGATATTTAGAGACAAGTTGCAGGCTAGCTGACCTAGCTGAATGTACTGTACAGTGCAGGAAGGAGAGTCAGTGTGTCTGGAATGCTTGCCTGGGAAGAGTCCCACCGACCTTTTTGAATTCCTTCCCCACTTTTAAATAGAACGGAGAGGTGTGGGCTGTAAAACAGAGCTGACTCTACTCCAATCTCGGATGCAGTGTACTGTATCCTTGTTGATGACCTTTTATGTTTGCAGGACAGTCATGAAGGAGTTTGGTTCCACATAACCCATTTAGGGAAAAATACACCTGATTGGTGTTAGTGATAGCACTATGGTGTCTTAAATAACAAATACAATAAATAATTGCACTTTCAATGGTGTATGAAAAATAGTTATTATGAGTGATTCTTTTGAACTGTAACTGTGAAAAAAATATGCTTCCAAAATTGATTTAACAGAGATGTTAGATGGTTATTGGTATGAGTTTACGATACTTCACTTTTTCAGCATGGCTCTGGCATTCTCAGTAACCCAAGTGAAACAAAAGTATTTTGGTTCCTCGGCTTGTTTTCACAGAGATGTTCAGTGCTGTGGGTAGTGGTAGAGGATGTGTGGATAGAAGCGAAGGATTTATGCTCCCAGTAGCCATAGATCAGACCACAGGACAGGAAGTGTATCAACCTCCCTCTGTTTTTGGCACAATTTCCCTCCCTTCCCTGCACATCTCTTGGTCTTTATATCACCCTGTCATTCTTGTTTGTTTATGCATGTTTGTCTCAAACGTTTATCTCCCATCTGACCTTCCATTTGACTCCTTTACGCACAGAGCATTTCACACTTGTTACTCCCACTCTTATGATATTACATGTTAAGGGTTCTGCAAACGAGCATCACTTCCACAAATGTGGCAATGGACCACCAGCATCTCAGACCAAAACAAACACTTCCGCCAAACCTCTGGCCACCCCCCAGCCTTCATGTGCTTGGTCAGCAAAATGTTAAGAAGCACAGAGAAAGTGGCCACTTAACACACAAGAAGCACAACTGTACAAAGTTACCCTGTGTACGCAAGAGCCAACAACAAACAATGTAGCCAAAACCATTAGTTCAGGCTAGCATTGCTTTGACATGCTCCATGGCAATGCTAACATTAGCCAGCTAGCAAAAAAAAAAGAGTTAGCCAGCTAGCTATAGCAACATTTCCCCGCACACATTCATAGAATCAGTAAGTTAGCTAACGTTATCATGCCTTTTGTAGCCGGTCACTAATGAAAACAGGCAAGTGGCATTATGTAGCCGTCAAGTTACTTACACACTGAGGAGAAGACAAGCCAGTTCTGAGTCCAGCTGGAACGCTTTAGCAGCTAGTAGGGTTCTCCATCTAGGTAAAGCCAGACCAGTCTTGGCTCCATGGTCGAACTGGGAAAGAAATTCAGCATCGGACTTATCCACTTGGACTGGGCCACACAAATGATACTGGAAGAGGCGGGAAAGATGCTGACGGAGCTGGTAAAAAACTTTAAAAACTTTATGGATGTTTTGACAGTCCACCAGCCTACCGTGATTTCAACCGGTAGTTCCTATGGCCTGTGCTCCGGTCATATCTCTGTTTTGTCTGAGGCCTTTTTACATGAAAAACTTTTTTTTTTTTTTTTTCAATTGAGGAAATTCTGAAGAGTTGTTTCCACCTGAACACTGTGTATTCGTGACTACTGCACTGTGCCATCTCACCTGTGGGCGGTCCCTCACAAGAGGCCTTACTCCACTATATCTTTGCATAGAAAATAGTTGTTTGTTTATTGTTTAACAGAACCTCACAGGACCTATAATTGCAAATGTCCAAACTCAGAACACAACTATTATTGCCCATAAATCAATACTATTGGCTGTCCTATGTTTGACTATGTTTGCTCTGTTCCAGCACGGGAGAACATAGCCCTAATCTCAACCTCAGTTCTGTTATTACTCCTTGCCCCTTCTTTAATACCGCTGAAAATACCTGTCATATTTATAAGACATTTGAAGATACAGTTTTGGCTGCATGCTTGGCCAAGCATAAAACCAAATCCAAGAGCAGGCTGTTGTTTGACAAGACGTAGACAGAGCGTTAGACTTGGACATCTCTCGCTTGCAGCCACCTCACTGGTGTCAGGCAAAGTTGTTTTGAAATTAAGATCAAACAAAATCTGCTATTATAGCGTTTTACCTTCAAAAGCACAGTATACAATACTGAAAACCTGAGTTGTCAGTAAGCCATATTTATATAACTGTCAATGGCCTGTGCCAATGCTGCAATATAACTTGTAGTTGTTATATAAAACCCTCTGTCAATACTACTGAATAAGGACATGTCTGTAGAGCCAGTTTCTCAGTGTGCTGTGTTTACAGAGCTGTGACAGACAAAGAGCAGATCTCTCTGTGCAGTACGTTGGCCTATGATGAATGATTACAGGTCACGTTGAACAATAAATTATTGATTGTAGAATGTTATGTAAAATATGGCAAAAAAAAAGTGAGCCTCAATATCACAATTGCACAATTATTGGATTTTTCTGTCTCTTTGCAAGAGGTGAAATGAATTGCTGCATGGCAGTATTATTCCACCCCCCTGTGGACACGTTGAGGAAATACATGTTTGTGTTACCCTGTCTTTTTCCAATGAGCTCTAGTTTCCAGGGGGACGGATTTCAGAGTAACACCGCACGACTCCCATTAAGGTTAGTGTTGGCATTTTGTTATGAAATGTTTTGTAGTTTTTATAGCGACACGCTAAAGTTTGATTTTCGAAATATTACTTCTCTCTGCAGCTCGTTGAACACGTACACAGTGAAGTTACTAACAGACACTGAAACCTTGTGTGACATTCAGTGTCCATATAACAAGACTCAGTGGTTTAATGTAAAATCATTCAAAACGTTGGTGCGTAAGGTGCAGTGGTTTCAACCAGAAACCTCAAAAGACATGATGGATGTTTTTTCATCAAAAATGAATGTATCACAGTATAGTAAGGTTGCTAAATATTACAGACCTGTTCTCACACCATGTTCATATCAACCTATTGTAGTGCTATTGTTTGTTATGTTAAAGTAACTTTCTAGATATCAGCGTCCAAGGTAAATAAATAGAACTAGTCTCTAAAATCTCTTCAGTCTATCTGCTCCCTCGTGCATTTCTATCTGCACCACTTCACATTTTTTCGCCGTGGCCTTTTTAAATGTCCCTCTTAACTCAGAAACACCGCTCCTCTCGTTCGCCCAGCACACCCTCACAGGTGTTTTTAATAACTGTCGCTAATTACACATCAGACTCTTCTCTGCTTTGATAAGTCAAAATATCTGCTGTGAAAAAGGTCTGTCTTGAAAAGCAATAGCTGTGCTCCTTGTCCTCAAACTTTGTTTCCCTTGTCTGTGCCCACAGTCCTTTTTTTTTTTTTTTTTAACATTAAGTGATATGTATGAGGTAATTCCTCCAAATCAAGGCCAAACTGAATATGTTCATTCCTTCATCTCCATGCAGCAGCAGGATGGTTCTCTGTGCACTGAGGCCACAGCTTCTGAAAAGCAGCACAAGTGTTGGAGCCTGGGGCAGGTAAAGGAGTCCAGCCAGTTTATCACCAGGCCGGTGGCAGTTAAATAAAGTCATGAGTAAAAGAACATCAAGCGTAGAGAGTTTAACCCACATTATTTGTTCACAAGTCAAACACACAGACAAGTGTAACTGACAAAAAACACCTATTTGAGGTGCAGACACTTGCAAAATGTTAATCGATAGAATGAATAACTTCTGATTTATATATAAAAATGTGTCAGAATCAGGTGTGGGTCATTGTTGTGTGTTAGAAGTTTGTGCAAAAGTCTCGCATCATACCTCCTTTAAGCTGATGTATATAGACGTAAGGGAGTTCAAGCATTAACTCTGAGCAACACAAGTCTGATTTCCATTAGGCAGTTATGCATACCATTTCTTTATACTACAATTATGGATATGCACATTTACTTTGACTTGAATTGATAGGTCAGTGAATTATTAAGCACACATCTGATCATATAAATAACTACAACAGACAACATTCATATGCTGTATAAATGGTGTTCCTTCAAGGTTGCTGCAGAGACAGAGCAGTGGCAGTGTGTACTCCAACATCCATGGCTTCAACCAGGAGGAGATCAGAGAGAAGCTCCTGGCTTTTCCCGGAGGGTCCATTGATCTTCACAAACACGACTCTGGTATAGCTGTGCTCACCATCAACAACCCATCCCGCATGAATGCCTTCTCTGGTAAGGAGACTAATACTGGGCATCAGGTTTGTAGGCTTGGATTTGGCATTTTGGGAATGATGCATAACCACAGTCAAACAACATGGAATTCCAGTTTGCTGCTTTGCTTAAACAGAGCTCTGCCTCCCTCCCAGGCAGTATGATGGTGGATCTGGAGGAACAGGTGAGGCAGCTGGAGAACTGGATGGATGGCAAAGGCCTCATTGTCCAGGGAGCTGCTGAAACTTTCTGCTCTGGATCAGACCTCAATGCTGTCAGGGCGATATCTAACCCACAGGTAGGAAACTAAAGAAATACTTCACAACATCTCTTCCTGTTTTTACCACGGTTAGTTAGTATGTTTCTAGGTATGTTTCTTTTGCCTTGTAGGATGGGATGAAGATGTGTATGTTCATGCAGAATACTCTTACAAGGCTACTGAGGTAAAAGCTTTCATTTCACTGTATACTAGTCTACTAAATATCTATGCTGACTACAGAAGCAGCAGCAACCAGTCTGAGCTTAAACAAGTTGGGGTTTAGCTGTTATGCAAGGTGCACTACAGTATGCTGACAGAATAGTTTTCTCAGTGCAGGCTGCCACTGATCTCTGTTGCTCTGGTGGAGGGAAGAGCGCTGGGAGGAGGTGCAGAACTCACCACTGCCTGTGATTTCAGGTAATGATTTTTATACAAGTGAATAAAAGAAAACACATTAGAATCTTTTTTGCTCTAACCTTCCAACCAAATATTGCTATTAATGTAATTTATGTGTGTTATCTCTCACTTGTAGATTAATGGCATCTGACAGCGTGATCCAGTTTGTCCATAAACACATGGGACTGGTCCCAGGCTGGGGCGGCGCTGCACGACTTGTCCACATTGTTGGAAGCCAGAATGCACTAAAGCTCCTTGGTGGCACTCTGAAAGTGGACCCCAAATTTGGCCTGCAGATTGGACTGGCAGATGGAGTCCTGGAGGGCCCCCAGGCAGAGGAGGGTGCAGAGACTCCCCTACAACAGGCTGAAAACTGGCTCAGTCGCTATATAAAAGGACCTGCCCCTGTGATTCAGGCTGTGAAGAAGGTGGTGTTGTCAGGGAGAGAGCTCCCTCTGTCTGAGGCTCTGAGGACTGAGAAGGATGTGTTTGGGACAGTGTGGGGCGGTCCAGCTAACCTGCAGGCTCTGGCCAGCAAGTCCAAACACAAATGAAGTGTCTCTCTTCAGTACCTTTTAGAGCATCTCAGATCAGCAAAGATCAGTGATATTTGTAAGATGTCACACAGAGAAATGCTACAGCTCCTCTGGGGATAGACCGACTCCTGATTGACATTACTGAACTGACTGGTGGCACATTTACATCGTAATACATTGTGTAACTTTTAAGATCCTTTTATGTAATAAGTTGAATGATGTGTCTAAAATGTGGACTGACTTTGGTGTGGGACTTTGCTATGATAAAGGTATTTTTCTTTGGTCCATAGAAAAAAGACAATAAATCTTTTTATTTCAGTAAATTGGATTCTGATGATATGGGATTGCTAATTATCACTTTCTGAAATTGCTTGGGTTGTCTTTTGTTTGGTATCTCTCAGTGTGATATTATGCCGACTCATTAGCCAACACAAGTGTATGAGCTGAGACACTAGTGCATAAACCGATGCTGAAAATGTGCTTTTTTTGTCATATAAACAGTACATCTCCTCTTCCTTTGAGGGTGTGTTTTACAAACTGGATTCTGCTGTTACCTGTTCACAAAAAATGACAGCACTTGTGGCGTAGTGTCAGCTGAACTAAAAATCTTGTTTCAGTGATACTGTGTAGACTGATACTGCATAAGGACTTCTTTTGTTTAGATTTGCCCCCTCATTGAAAGTATATCTGTAATACAAAACTGAATATGCTGTATCAATCTATGGGTATTATAGTCTTTACATTAAATGAGGACCTACAGCAAAGGACAGCATTCCCCATCCTCTAAACCTCTTCTGTCCCCATCAGTCAAGCAAATCAACACTGTCTTACCTCCAGCTCCACTGAAAATGTGATTATGGTAATGATTAGATCATGGCAGGCAGAGCTTAACTGAAGCAGGCAGATAGCAGCAGCATACAGATACATACTGATGAGGTATAACAAGCATGAAGCACCAACATCTGTCTACAGGATTGAATGTAATGCTTCTGCACTTCTTTCCTCTTTACCTCATTTTGTTGGTTAGTTTGACAATTCCTTCATATTCCTCTGTGCTTGTGCTGTGTCATGGTGGCCTTGATCATCCTCACTCTCCTTGTTTCTCTTCTATAGGGAGATTCTCAGCTGTAGGTTAGAGCATTATTTTAATGTTTTTCAGTACTTGGCACAGTGGCTCTCATCTGTTCATGAGGAACTTTAAAAGATGCTGAAACACACGGCCAAATAAAAACACGAACAGTGAATATTTTGTATGGTTAGGCACCAGTTTGTAGCTTATTTTTCATTACATGTTTAAAATGAGTTCACTCAAATAGCAAATGAGCCACTGCAAGAACACAAACATGTACAGCCTGAAATGACAAGAACAGGACAGGTCCCTGGAGGATGCCAGGCCTTTATCTTCTGTTCCCCTTCCAGAGGTCATGTTTCCTGGCCAGACACCCAGTTGGAGTGCTAATGGCTGCTGTGGTCAGAATACTAAACATCTCCAAGGTGAGTGGGAGGGGGAGGGGGGTCAAGAGTTGGCTTCATTATGATATATAGCACACTTGTTTATATGGTCTTCAATGAGCAAAAGGCTCCATCATGCACACTGTAGATATTTTGGAGCAGTTGAAGGTATCTTTCTTTACACATATTTTCAGGTACTTAGGGAAACCACAATGACTTTTTACCCAATTCTACAAGCTGTTTTAGTCCATGTGTCACCTGCTTAATCTAAGTCTTACTTTGGATGCTTTGTTATTTGTTATGATATAACTTATACTTCACCCCCCCCAGCCAGGGGGAAGAATGTGAGTTTTTTCCCCTGAATTTTTTTTTTTTTTTTTTTTTACACTTGGTCGTGTGGAGAAAAACGTGTGAAATATTACCACAATGGACCTATTGACTGTCCTGCTTATGTAACACTCAAGACAGATATATTTTAAAGTAAAACCAAACTGACACACAAAAAGCCAAAAAATACAGGAATATTCAGAGACGAGCACAAAAATATCCTTTTAGGATGATGAAATGACACAATTTATTCTTAAATTACAAACCATGTAACAAAAAAGTTGCCAAGCAAAAACTGTTACACATACTTTATTCCTCAGAATGAAAAGTCTAAAACTGAGCTGATGATGTAAACATGTAAGAAATATAAAAAATAACATAACTTGGATGGCCAATAGCAGTGGTATGTTTTTGTTTTCTTACTGCCTCAGACATCATACATAAGAGGATTTACAACCATAAGAAACGCAAAAACAAACACAAATTAAAAACATTTACTCAAACTGAAACCAAAAATATCAATTCTCAACATCCTGCCAACCAGTAGTGTTTAAATAACTCTCTCTTCAAACATGCACAAATCACAAAACTTTAGAAACACATCAATTGAGAATACTTTAGTGTGGGACGATAAGATTACTAATGAGGTCCAGAGGCCTCAACAGCTTTAAAAGCAAAACACTGATACTTCACATTTAAATGCCAATTATTCAAAGCTGGGAAAAATTAAATTACATTTGATGTGTACTTCTATCATACAGATTAAGTTAAAACAGGATTCTTGATCTCTACAGATTTTAGGATTTCATAAAGCAGCAGGTTAATTAAACTCAAATCAAAGACATACCCAAGGCAGGTAGCCAGATAATCCTGTGGGCTGCTGAGTTACATAACTATGTTGTAAAATATGAAGTGTGAAATTCAATGACCCACAAAGCTTAAGAGCATCAGTAAGTACTTTTGTTTCCTTTCTTCATCTGTAAACAACCTGCAAACCACTATCTGCTCTGAAATGACACACTTTGTTCAAAGTTAAGTTTCAGAACTTCCAAGGAAAAGCATCATAATCATTTAAATCTGAAATAAGTTATTTAGGTAGGGTGGAGGTTGGGAACATTTTTATCATGGATTAAATTCTTTCCAATAGTAGTCAGATGACTTGAGCCCCAACAAGCCCATTTCTGCGTGCTATGTTAGCTGAGAGAGTTAAAATGTAGATGATTAGAATGCAGCCATTCATGATAATGAAAATGACAGAGTTCCATTTCCAGGTGTAACATTCCCATTTATGCCTTCTTTCACTGCACATCACAAATCTGGATAGGACGCCCACAAGCCCTCTGGGTATTAGATCATCAATTTATACACAACAATATCGAGGTTTTGCAAACGCAGGTTGGCGAATCACTTCTTACCTTTTAACCTCCACTTTTCTGGGATTTAAAAAGTACAGGCTCAATATGCCTACAACCAAATGGCTACAAGTGAGCAGACTGAACACTACAGTAAGTCTGTTACACCTACCTCCCATGATGTGCTAGATGGAGAATTATGAAACGAATTTATCTGTTTACCAAGCTGTAACTCACATCTCAGTACTAGAACGCTCAGTGCTTGAACATGAAATCCACCATAATTTCTACTGGCTGGGGATACACAGGATGAGACTTACAAACAAATCACGCAGATACATCCAGATCACTGTGAGCCAAAACCGGGCATAAAATTTGACTGCTAAAACTGAGCTGTTTACCTAAAAACTTGGTCATGTTTGTTATTGAGTGTGTAATTTTTCCTGTACCAAGCAATCCACCCACATTCGATCTGTGACTGAGTGAGGGAAAACACAAAGTCAAGAATAAATTAATGGAATGGAACTTAGCCATATGGTGATGTCGGTTTCAGTGATGACTTCACACTTCAGTCACTGTACACTGGCCATCAGGCATTCTGGACCTTCCACTGCTACTGGATGAAGGGGGAGAGGCAGACTCTGCGCCAGGAGGGGCTCTGTCCTCTGGATTCAGTCTTTGCCTCCGTGGCCTATCCTCCCAGGGCTCCACATGTTCTCCATCTCCCCCCTCCTCTTCTTCGTCCTCCTCTTCCTCATCATCGCTCCAGTCTCCAGAGCCCGACTCGTCCACAGAGGTGTGAGGATCAGAGGACCTGGAGGGTGAAGCCTCCTCCTCTTCATCTTCTTCCTCTCCTTCCCCAGCCTCAGACCGCTCATTAGAAGGTGTGGGCCTGGGACTGATTTGCAACTGGGAGAGGGCATCCTCCAGAGAGGGACTAGTGCTGGTGCCAGGCTGACCACCAAGGGAGGTGGGAGGTCTGGCTGTGGGTGGAGGGGCTGTAACAGTAGAAGAGATACCTGTAACCGGCTGTTGTACACCTGCTACTGTGGTATCAGCCCCATCAGCAGAGTTCTCTCGACCTGCTGCCCCAATGGCTCCAGTAACACCCTCAGTGTCCAAACGCAGTCCTGCCACTCCCTTCTTGGGGATATCCAAAACGTCCCTCTTCATCTTGCGTCTACGACCGTGCTCATTGCGCCTGTACTGCACCATATTCTCCAAGTCAGCTACATACAAAAAACCAGCTATCAGCATTTCAGCTGTTTTCTTGCCCTTGGAGAAAGCGTCCTCCAGCTCACGGCTGGTTCGCTCATCATACTGCCACCAACCATTACGGCCCTCATAATACCAGGCGTGATCACTTGCTGCGCCACCCCGACCTCCTGCCGATGCTTTCAGCTCCTCTGGAGAGAGAAGTGTAGGCCTTTCCAGGAAGTCATCTGGTACTTCCTGTCTGCAGAGAGCACAGCGTTTGCTCTGCCAGGATGCTCCCTTCGCACACAGGAAACAGAAGACGTGATGGCATGGCAGTTGGACTGGGTGGACGCAGCTCTGCAGACAGATGGCACACTCCGGTACAGACAGGGCTGGGGATGAGTTGCTGGAGCCAGAGCATGATGATTCTGCACTGCTCCCACTTCCACCACCACTGTTGCTGCCTTTCTTGCTGGATGGAAGCGAGCTAACAGAGTGGTCTACCTCCCCACAACTAGCCATCCTTAGGAAGTACTGAGGAAAGTGGACAATTGTAAATAATAGTTATAATGAGCAGTTCTGAATTTTAATATTTTCCTTCAACAGCAGTTTTCAATTTGGAAAAAAAAAATCCAGCAACAACAACAACAAACAAAAAACAAAAAATGGTATTGAAGAGCATTGTTATTGTGGCTGTTGCTTTTAGCTCCAAGTGGTGAAAAATTCTAGTAAGATATATCATCTGTAATGAAATGTACATATTTATTTTACTGCTGGTGTCATGATCACAAATAACAATCCAAGTCACTAAATAGCAAACAGTCCCAAGGTGAACTCAAACTAAGAATTAAATATATTAATGTTATAATCAATATGTCACTTGAGACCTCAAACATGGCTGACAGATATGCTATTCAATACTTACTGGAAGTACCCTTAATGCTGATGTATCATTAGGAGAGCTGGTGGACCTTCAAACTCGCCACTGCCAAAAGAAAAGAGCACTCAGTAAAAATGCCTTTGTTTTCATACTGTCCTTAATATAAGAACAATACACGATATCTTGCTATTCCTTATGTAAACATGATTTGACAACCAAACCATTAACGTTATATGACAAACAATCTGCACTTTAAGCCTGATGTTAAAACGGATTAGCTAAAAAGGTACTTACAGAAATGTAAGGGGTTACTTAAGTGTCAGCAACAAAGGGTTGCTCTGTTAACTGACTACGAGCTGCTGTGCCAGCTAACTGTTACAAGTTTGTGCTAACCCAGCTGGCCTTATGACAGGGCTAGTGATGGACACAGCTAACGTTACTGAAGTAACATCAACAGCTAACGATCTGATAATCACACTGACTGGTAACAGTCTATGAGCACACTTGTTTAGCTAACGTTAAATAAATAGCAGCTACTCAAAAACAAGACGTTTGTTGTTACCGTTACAGATACAAACACCAGTCAAATAGCACAGAGGGTTTCTCGACTGACAAGGCGACCATAACAATGAGACCTGTTGTAGCTAACGGTGGCTAGGCTGAGGGAACCACTCTCACTCCAGCAAATAGACGGAGTTCATATGACGGCGCTAGCTTATTTTAGCAGGGCGACATAAACAGCAAGGAGACGCATTTTCTCCCCACACAGACAATGTACACGTAACGTACCGTTAGATTTTGCTGTGCTGGTCTGGTATACAGTTACAATTCGTGTGACGGCACCAATTTCCAATGCTAATTTCCCGACTTCCAGTGTTAACTGGCTTTGTTTTCCTCTGAAAAAAAAGCTGAGATAAAGACGACTACGTAACAGTACGCGTTGACGCAATTTGACGTAAAATCGCACGACCTTTATTTTCGACGCATGACAGTTTACGAGTCTTCCTGTTCGCTCGTGGCTAGAGGACGTTGGTGTCACAGAGAAGAGGGGCTCTTCAGGTAGTTTTATTTTCACTAAATTAACAAAAGAACTCACAGAAACAAAATGTTTTCCCGTGCCGTGAGACCTACCGTGAGCCTCGCCAGAAGCTTGTCCACCTCTTCTCAGAACAACGCTAAGGTGGCGGTGCTCGGAGCGTCGGGCGGCATAGGCCAGCCGCTATCTCTGCTACTCAAGAATAGCCCCCTGGTGAGTCACCTCTCCCTCTTTGATATTGCCCACACCCCCGGGGTGGCTGCAGACCTCAGCCACATTGAGACAAGGGCCCAGGTGACCGGCCACATGGGCCCCGACCAGCTGGATGCTGCCCTGCAGGGCTGCGACGTCGTAGTTATCCCCGCTGGTGTGCCCAGAAAACCCGGCATGACCCGTGATGACCTCTTCAACACCAATGCCACCATTGTAGCCACCTTGGCCGATGCCTGCGCCCGCAACTGCCCCGAGGCTATGATCTGCATTATCGCCAACCCAGTCAACTCCACCATCCCTATTACATCAGAGGTCATGAAGAAGCATGGAGTGTACAACCCAAACAGAGTGTTTGGTGTCACAACCCTGGACATTGTGAGAGCGAACGCCTTCGTGGCAGAGCTCAAAGGCCTTGACCCAGCTCGTGTCAATGTACCAGTCATTGGCGGTCATGCTGGGAAGACCATCATCCCCCTCATTTCCCAGTGCACACCCAAAGTCGAGTTCCCCGCTGACCAGCTGTCTGCCCTGACTGGCAGGATCCAGGAGGCTGGCACAGAGGTGGTGAAGGCCAAGGCTGGAGCTGGATCTGCTACCCTCTCCATGGCCTATGCTGGTGCCCGCTTCACCTTCTCCGTCCTGGATGCCATGAATGGAAAGGAGGGTGTGGTGGAATGCTCCTATGTCAGGTCTGAGGAGACAGAGTGCAAGTACTTCTCCACACCTCTCCTCTTGGGCAAGAATGGCATTGAGAAGAACCTTGGGCTGGGCAAGCTGTCTGCCTTCGAGGAGAAGCTGGTGGCTGACGCCATCGGTGAGCTGAAGGCTTCAATCAAAAAAGGCGAGGATTTTGTGGCTAAGATGAAGTGAACAGGGCGCATTAAGTTAGTTGAAAAATAAACAGCTGTGATTGATAATTTGTTTTGTCTTAACTTAAAAGGCATCTGGGTAAATCTCAACATCTGTCACAGTGTTTCCTCTTTTTTGTTTTTGTTTTAGCAGTAGGATCATCTTGATTCAGAAATCCTGCTTTTGACCTTGGTCCCCATTTCTTTGTATTATTTCAAACATGGCTTTATATTGCGCCTATGATTTGTGTACATACAGTACTGTGACTTATCTATATTTTGCAAATGTCAAATGTAAACAAAATTTCCTACATATTCATGTACAGTCTGTATTAGTGGGAATTTCTCTGCTGAATGAATGAGGAGGAAATACTGTCATCATGCCTGTTGATGCAAATAGATGTTACTGATGAGCAAAATACTCACTCCACCAATAAAACAGTCTAGCTTTAAAACTTGGTCCTTTTTATTTCTCGTTCTTTGTTACATAAAAATAATAATTTGGCTTGACAGCGTACAACTTAAACGGTGACCAAATGCTTCCACTGACTTCTGATGCTTTTCATGAACCTAAACAGGTTAATCCAGATGTCTAGATTTTCAAATGTACAAAAATTACTATTAAATTAGTAACTCAAATTAATTTTACATTTGAATTAATTCAGTTGAGAAATATATCTTGCTGTGAAGTTTGCCTGTGGATGTTTTTGCAGAAAAATGAAAGGGGTCCCTGCAAAAACTAAAACTAAAAAACAATTCTGGATTTGGCCTATAATAATAACTACAGGTTGGTTATTTCAATGAATTCAATCTTAATTTTTAATGATCAAGATTAACGATGTGTGTTGAGAAAGAAGCTATTGTAAATGTGTTGGAATAGTTTTGGAAACAGTGATGGGGCTTCTCTACTGTCATGGACAAAACACCAATGTTATTAACTGTTAACTTTGTATATTTCTAAATTGCAAAATACTATATTGGTTGAGACTTTAGTGACACTAAGAGATAGATTATCTGTATTTATGACAGGTGTTCACATGTTACAGTATGCAACTTCCTACTGCTGTAGCACTTTGCACCCAAATGAGGCCATGGCAACCTTTGAATCAAGAGTAGCTGCTTACTGCACCTTCTGTTTCACCTTTCATTTACTCTGAGAAGGTTTTAAGCATATTCAAGGGGACTTCACTAGAAAGCTGTCAGATAAGAAAATGGATAACAGACACAGGTACAAACCCATTATAGTTTTATTTGACATACAGGTGCTTTTGGTTCCTAGTCAAGGAGCTTTACTGAGAGCACAGATTCCATTTACACAAAAAGAAAAACCAGTGGTAGATTAGATTTATCACTTATCTGGATAAAACTAGCTTTTGTCCAACACATACAGAACATATGTTAATGGTTTTAAGATTTTTTACCTTACTCCTTTGATTCACAGCATGCAGGTTCTCCTACATCTGTCATTGGTAGTGATTATGAAGATTTCACAAGATGGCAAGAGCAAACTCACTTTTATTTTTTCTTTACAAATTCTGCACCAAATAAAATAAAGATATCTAAAGAACAGGAACAACAATAATAAACAATTGTTCTACATAATGTTGCAAAATCTACATTCAAAAACCAAGACGCGCAATGTTGTACCAGGGCCCCATTAAATAACCATATCAACAAGCACATAGTGTAATGTCTTTGTCTCTCTGTTCGTCTGCCAGTCCTCCACGCGCTCACTTTGTTCTTCAGTCCAAACAGCAGTCTCAGCAGTGTCTCCTGCACCTTTTAATAGAGACTCTCTAGTTGTGGAAGTGAAGGAGTAGAGGCTACAGGGTAGAAAAAAAGACTTTTTAAAGTCCAGAGTGGCCCAAGCCTTGTGGCTGAATGTGCCCCATCCCATTTGTGCACAAACAGTATTTTCAAATCATACAGGTAGCAGCAACACCCCTGCAGAGAGGGGGCGAGGGGGCGAACAGTGGGTGAGGGTGGGGAAAGTTTTGGAGGAGGAAACCTGGGAGGATAACAGGAGGAAGGTGAGGAGGCATCAGAGCACTACTGTATGAGGCCATCTTCAGGGGAGACTGGCTCTGTGTCATGGCCTCTGCGGTGCCTGTGCTCTGTTTTGTTCCTATTATCAGAGTCTTCACGTTCACCTGGGTCTCTCTCCCTCTCTCGCTCCCTTTCCCTCTTCCTCTCCCGTCGCCCCTCTTGGTTCTCCTTATCTTTGCGGTTGTTGCGATTCCTCCGTTCTCTCCGCTCATTCTTCCTTCTGGGACCTGCTCCTGCAAGTTGGCAAAACGAAATAATTAAGGTTTGTAAAAGAGGGTGGCAGATTGTAATGACCACTTCTGTTTTGCTCTTGTTTGCTCTCCATCATTACCCTCCATCAATCTCATTTTGCAAAGGAGGTTAAAAACTTGCACCTTGCATAATTTATTTGTATTTCCTCTCACTATACACAGTACTGTTAATTAGTATCTTCAAAAAATTTTAAAAAAGAAGAAATATTTCACTTTCGTAGCATATAATGCAATTAATGCAGCTGCAGAATACATGTGTACATGTCAAAAACCATTATAATCACATCACAGGCTGCAATAACCCCTGAAGTGTTACTAGATATTGCAATACCCTGGATTCACCACTAGATGTCAGTCTTTAATCACAGATAGCAGCCACATTGTCAGACTATCAGCTGTTGCAGCCCCTCTCCTTGCGATGAGCAGACCTTTGTCCAAAATAGAAAACCTTTAAATAAACCCCCAATTTATCTGTTCTTGCAACACCATCTCATAAACAAAACCAAGAGTTTTGGAATGCTGAAGGTTTATCTCTACTCAAGCTACAGCTATTAATGATAATAACAAGATCCACCCCCAGGGAGGTTGGAGACAGGACCTGCAAGTGAATGCAGAGGAGGCCCTTTCCTGTTGTTGTACTGCTGCTGTTCATGTGTGAGTGGAACGGAGCAGCACGGCTTGCTTGGCTGCTTGGCTGGCCGGTCGGGGATTGTGAAACTGCTGAAGTAGGCAGTAGGCACAGACACAGGGAAAGAGAGAGAAAGAGATCTCTCTCTGTCTCTCTCCTGTCCGCTTCATGTTTGCCCCCCCTAAGCTCACACTCTCCCTCTCTGTCTGTTCATTAATCAAGACAGGGCTCTGGTTGGACCCACACATTGTGGACTGGTGATACCAAACTCTACCTGCCCACTGTGTTTAATCTTTTTCTAGAAACAATGAAAGGACAAGTGGACAGGAAGTGGACATAAGTGCATGTGTGAACATGTGCACAGACACAGCGTTCACATGGTTTGATTGCAAGACGGTTAAAAGTGAGTAAAAGTAAATATCAAAATTCAAAGATAGTGAAGATAACTGGGCGCATGGATGGATGAATGGATGGATGGAGTAATCTGGTGCATTGACTCATTCGGGGTCTGCCCCCCGTCCTCTATAAACACAGGAAGTCCCCTTCGCTCTCATTGTTTTCACTGTCCTGACACCATAACTATTTACAAGTTCAGTGGATTAGTCATACTGTAGCCCTCGAGCTTTTGTTGAGCCAGAGGAGAAACCTAATCCATGCCAGTGTTGAGATGATTAGGAGAGTGTTTATCAAACCAACCTGCAACTGGTTAGTTGGAACAGTTTCTGATGGGTTTTTTTGTAAACTGTGTGTTGAATAATGTCATCAAGACTTTGAGACTGGCAGTGAATGAGTGTTTGGCTTTTGAGACAACATATGAAAATCTTCCAGTTATGTTATGAATGGGAATTTGTACTCATGGTGAAAAATCTTCATTCAAAGGTAAAAGCATCCACATCATTAAAAGTGGAACCACTACTATCATCACTTATCCCTGTTTTGGCTGACATTTGTACAGTAAGTGATGTGATGTGATGTGATGTGATGTGATGTGGGGTGGGGTGGGGTGGGGGGTCAATGTGTCTACAACTCAGTGGATCATTTTCACTGTTGTGATATACTGGAATAATTTTATGTATATGCGTTTTAGGACCTTACATTTGTTCATTTTATACAGTGTGGGATGTTGATGAAACAAAGTCAAACTGTATTACTCTAATTCAAAGGACATAGTAAAGTTATACCAAATACAATATCATTTTTCAAGGTAAATTATTGTTTGTGCTATTAAATTGATGTTGTCTATTGAATCATTATTCTAAAAGGGAAATAATGTAACAACCCCTAAAGAAATATTTCGACATTTTAGTTAATAGCCTTCTTTGCCCTCCTAATGAGTGTCAAGTATTAAACTAAACCCTGGAGGTAATTAGCCTAGCTTAGCTTAGCATAATGACAGAGGGGAAACAGCTAACCTTAGTCAAACTATTTCTCCGCCGCCGACCGTGGTTTCTGGCCAGACGCGGGTGGTGGTGATTGTCGCTTGATAAGAGCTCCAGCCATTGTTGCGTTTACAAGAAGCAGCAGTAAATTGCTATCAGAAAGTGACGAGACAGACCGGGGCTAGCTAGTTAGCATGCTAATTTCAGTCGAAGAATAGACGTGATAGAGACAAGAGTTATCATTGGCGTTGCTATCCACCCCTGGAGACAGCACTTGGCGAGTAAAGGAATGACGTTTGATGCTGAACTCACACCGTTTCTTCAAGACTGGTAAGCCAACAGCTGCTAATGCCAACGCTTACTGTGTAGCACTAGCAAAACTTACAAGTAGTTGCTTTAATGTAGTTTCAGTTGATGTAACCACCATATCTGTGAAGCAGCTGAAACATTTATTCAAAACCAAGACCTTAAGCACTTTGTATTTTGCTGTCTAGCAATAGCTCATGCAAGTAAGTACAGAAATATAACACATAGACAATATTAATGGTACAATGTAAGAGAACAGCCGTAAATCTCTGAGGTCACTTTTTAACTTGTCACTCAGATTATATGATGCACATCGTTTTTTTGCCGTTGCAGACTGTACTCTACATGCTCCACTTCAGATTTTGTAATTTTTTACTAAAACTGTATTAATTGTAAAATATTTATTATGACCAATACAGTACAAAATACATTTGACATTTATGTCAAATTATAAGTCTGTGTCCAATCAAAACATTGACTGTAACTGCTCTCAAGTTCTATGAGCAATTAGTGCCACATTCAGTACTTAGAGTACATGATAAATATTTGTGATCACTACATGTTAAAAACATTTCCTGTAATCTCTAGATAATGAGCGGGAATGTATGAAGATATGTGTTATCCTTTTCATCCTGTTATTCCCCTTAAACCCCTGCCTGCACACTGTAAACACAGCCACGAGTGCAGACCTGTTGAATTGTCTGTGGCTGTAATGTAACTTCTAGAAATCTGTTGCAGCACACTCACAAAGGGCAATACTCAGTATTGCCCTTTGTGAGTGCACACATAGAGGGGCTTTACTGAATGGGACACTACAGGCCGTGTGTGTGCTGGCACAGTGAGTGAGTGAGCATGTTAGTGAAAGAGTTCGTGGAGAGACAAAGAGAGCCAAAGAGAGCCAAATGAACCAAAGTACAAAGTGTGAGTAGGAAACAGACAGAGATCAAATGAGAGAGCAAAGGGGCACTGAGGGTAAGGGAAGGAGTGTGTATGTGTGGTGTGTGTGGGCATGTATGTGGTTAGAGGCTCACTGTGTGTTTTATGGTGGCACATCCTCCGTGGCAGGCGTTCTGTCGTCCGGGGAGCTTTTGGCGGGAGCCAGGCCGGGATTAAAGGCTATGGGCTGTCCCACAAGTGGAATGCCTGCCGCACGGCCGCCAGGATGTCATGGGGGTTGGGGGGTGGGGGTGGGTTCTGGGTGTGTGTGTGTATGTGTGTGTAAGAAACCCCCCCTCACTGACTGGTTGGTGGTAGCTTGCTTAACTGTATGTTTCTCTGTGTGGAATAGGTCTGTGCAAGTGTCTGTATGTGTGTGTGGGAGTTAAAGGGGGTTAAGGTTTGCAGAGGGCACATGGTCTATCCGGCCGCAGAGATAGAGAGGTCGATCGAAGGACAAATTAGCCAGCATTAACTTGAGAGAGATGGCGGCAGATGAGGATGTGCGTGTAAACATTCACAATCTCTAGTCATTGATAACAGAGGAACAGAGCCAAGTTTTTCTGACTCTAATCCTTAATATGTCAGCATGTTTCCTACAGTTTTACAACTCTTCTGACAGATATCTGTAATTTAAAATATTGTTTAGGGATTTAATCAGGACCCACTGGAAGTTGTCATTTATCAAATAGTCTGTAGAACTGCAGCCTGTAAGAGCTGGAGGCTTAAGTCTAGTCTTAAAAGAATAGTAGACATTTTGGGAAATATGCTTATTTGCATTCTTGCTGAGAGTGAGATGAGAAGATAAAACACCACTCTCGTACCTGCAGATTAAATGTGTATCTTGGGCCAGGAGAAGATTAGCTTAGTTTAGCATGAAGAGTGTAAACAAATGAGATATGTTAATAAGTGAGCTTTAGAGGTTATGGCAAGCAGTCTGTTAACTTTAGACCGGCTTGGAGTCTCCCCTTGCCTCTAGTCTGAGTGCTATGGTAAGATGATCATCAGACTCTAGCTTACTAGTTACTACTAGCTTACTCTAGCTAACTGTAGGTACAAACACAAGAGTGGTACTGGACCTCACATCTAACTCTCAGCAAGAAATCAAAAGCCTAGGCCTCTTTCTTTTGTGTCTGGGTTAGGACAGCCAAATCTGTGCATCTTTGAATGAAAATACTGCATTGCATAAGGAGGCATTTGATGTGGAAAAAATGATCATATTAGGGTACAAAGCCTACTATACAAAACACATTTTCAATTTGTTTAAATGCAAAAAGGAGAGAAGTAACATAAAATGTATTGCTAAAAAGTGAGATGCATTTTGGTTGGATTTTGTGTAAGGATGAGGGAATGTAAAAAGTATGAAAAGAATGACAGAAGGACAAAAATACAGGGCAAAATGAGGAACGGGGTGAAATAGGATGAGATGAGCCAAGACTTGGTAGTACTTGTGGAGGAGTGAAGCGATTTAGCAAGGAGAAGGACGGGAAGAGGAGAGGCAGGACAGAGGGGGAGAAGAAGCCAAAGGGAGAAAGAGCAAAAGAGAAGGAAAGGAAGAGGAGGAGGAGGAGGAGGATGTATCAGTGTCTGAGGGCTGCTGGAGGATTACTGGGGGCTCTCTGAGGTCGGACCACTGACCTCTTAGCGTGTGCAGAACGTAAACATCGAGGAGAGGACGCACCGAGGCAGATAATTAGCTCTCATTCTCTGCGGATGCTGTTGGAGTGGGGGCAACTAGGTAATCACATGCGGGGGGTGAAACTGATAAACGGGGTCTGTAGTGTGTAAGACTGTACACTTTCTTTCTTTCTTTCTTTCTTTCTTTCTTTCCCTGTAACACCCCCCTGTTCGCCAGGCTCTGGCTAGATCAACAGAGCCGTCGACTCCACACTAAAATCTCGGCCCCCGCCCCGACTGACTGGGAGCGCCAACAGGGAGCTTATATGGGGGTCTATGTTTTCTTTGGTGTAGTAGGGAGTGTGTGTGTGTGTAGCTGAGGGAATGGATCAGTAGAGAGATACAGATAGAAAGTGAGAGAGAAGGGGATAGCCAGGGTGCCAGAGGGCAAATTTCACAGTCTGCCTTACAAATCATGTCAACCCAGTTGACTCTCTTCACAAATTACCACTAGTACCAATGGCTGTGTAGTTATTTTAGTAGTAGTTTAGACAAAGTTAGTGTGTGTGTGTGTGTGTGTGTGTGTGTGTGTGTGTGTGTGTGTGTGTGTGTTTGATTTGGTGTGCCCAAGTGAGTGTGAAAGTGCAAAATTGTGCATTTGTCTGACTTGTCTAAAATGAAGAGAGTGTGTACATGTGTTGTTTTGCGTGTGTGTGTGTGTGTGTGTGTGTGTGTGTGTGTGTGTGTGTGTGTGTGTGTGTGTATAAGTGTGTGTATTGGCAGCTGTGGGGATAAACCAATACTGATCCCCTGGTCGCCGCGTGCCTCCCAGGGGGGAGGATGTTGATGTTGAGCTGGCTGTTTCTGCTGCATCACACACACAGACACACACACATGCCCAGAAACATGCACACACACACACACATACACATGCACACAGTGTTTGTTCTGTAAGTGTGAGGCCCCAGGGGGCTGGATCTCAGCCTCCTACCCTGTCTGCGATCTGTCATTTAACACTACAGAACCCAGGCTAAAAAACAACCAGCCGTAGCCGCCAACCACCTCAGTAACCACACACATGCAGTACACACATAACACAAAGCGATCGTAAATGCTTCACAGCATTGGCTTTTATAAAGAGACGAGACCGTCTGAAAACAGTTTTCACTCTATTCATTAGAAATGATCACGCAATTCCCTGTTTACTAGAAGCAGAGAAAGTGGTTTTACTGTTTAAATATCTAAAGAGGTCTCATGGGAAAACACACAACATACCCATTGCAACATCACACATGTGTCTTCCCCCCACTGTCCTCACTCTGACCACAATGACAATCCTCTGAGTAAACAGTCGTAGTCCTGAGCGGAAGAAAGTCTAGCTATGATTGTACAAGCCGAAGCAGCACCGTCTGGAATTCATAGAGAGTAGATTGTGCCATGTGTCATAAATACAGTGTTGGCAGTGAGTGTGATGGGAGCAGCAAGTACAACAGACAGTGTTTAGTATGTCTCATTTTGAATATTCAGTTTTTTGACATTTTTGGTTCAGATGCTGGGTCAGAAGGATCCTAAATCAGGATCTGAAACACAGAAATATTGTAACTCAGTAAAGTAAAAAAACACAGTAAAGTTTTCTTTACCTGGACATTTCCTCCTCTTGACCAGGCACTCTTTGATCTCTGAGATCTCAGGGCAGGGTTTACCAAAGGGTGATGGGTACTGGAGGACCTGCCGTGTGCGCGTCTCCTGGCCCCGCTTGAAGCCACAGGTTCTACCGGACCGAGAACAAGGGCTCCACTCACTCCACTCGCCCACTTCACAGTGCACTGACCAGGGAAAATGAAGAAAGAGAGGTGAGGTTGGGAAACATCGATTTAATCATCTTATATTAATATGTTTTGAAATGGGGTTGCTTTATTTTCTTCAAGCTTATTTGCCATCTGTAGCCACATCAAGGGCCAAAAACTTGGCATGGGCCCCTACCATCAGGACAGGAATCTTTGGCAGTTATTTTTTAATGACACATCCACACACACCATATTGGACTGACCTTGTGGTGTGCACTCCATGAGTTTGTCATTGGGCTCGTAGTCCTCTGGACACACATGGTGGCACCTCCCACTGAGCTGGTACAGGCCTGGCCGGCACTGTGTACATGTCTCACTGTTCACACATGACTCACACTCTGCAGGGCACCCTGCAAAGACAAAAGCGCAGTAATGTGTCTGTGTCTATACTGGTCAAATTTAACACGAAAAAATGTTATGAACAGTTATGCTTCATTCAAGTGAGAATTATTTGGTTAATTATACATGGGTAATGTGGGGTACAGATAAGGTAACCAGAGTTAAAAGGCAACTCACTGGGAACACACTCCCTCTGCGTGTCACTGCGGACCAGCCCCTCGGGGCAGTTCTCCTGGCACTTGCCCAGGTGAAGGTAGAATCCTGCTCGGCAGCGCGTGCAGAAGTTCTTGTTGAAGCAGGAGTCGCACTCCAACCTGCACTCTGACAAAGAAACACAGACCCAATGCCAGAGTTTATTTAAACTGTACAAGTTATCGTGTGTGTTGTGCGTGTTAAATATACAGGGTGTCAGTGTGTGTGTGTGTTCATGTGTGCATGTCTGACTGGGAATATAGGCCACTGCAGGCAGACTGATGTCTTGCAGGGTGGCTGGTGATATATGATTTTTCATAAAGCAGCACTTGATTTGATTTAATGTCGCCAAATAGAAACATACTTTACAGGATAACTACTATCAAGTTTTTCAGTTACTTGAACATATACATATGTATACATAATGCCATATATCACAAGCAGGTCTTGGACCGTTGCATGTCAAGATGTGTATATGGAGAGGGGACAATTTGACAATGTCTTGACGCCAAGCTTATGCTTGTCATGTTTAAGTAAAACACACTGTTAAGATGCCACATTTAACTCAAGACAAGTTTGAGATCCTTTTCTCTGTGTGTTTGTTATGAGAGAGGATTATAATTAATCTAATGCCCGTCCATTCAGAGGACAGTTAATTACACAGAAGTCTGGCTACTAATACCACCTGTTCATTTCAAATAGGCACATGCTAGTCCTTACTTGTGCAGGTGTTTCTTTCTGGGGAGCGTGTGCCGTAAAAGCCTGGAGGACAGGAAGTCATGCACACCCCGATCTGCTTCATCCCAATCCTCTCCAAATGCATGAAGAAGCGCGGCTTGCAGGACAGGCAGCCATTGTAGTCAGAGCAGGTCAGACAGCCACCCTGCTGGCACCCTGAGCTCACACCAGAGATCTCTGTTGACAGGAACAGGCAGGCAGGTGCACGTATGAATTTTCACATGTGAGATTTATACGAAAACTGAATTGTGTTAATAGATAATGCGTAATATTGGAGAGATCACAACATTTGGTAAGCCGCAATGCCCCTGTTTGATGCTGAGCAATTTAGGAGTGCTTGTAGATATCATGCTAGTAATACCAGCCTCTCTCTTACTGAAAGCTCCTAGCAGGAATTCATCTTTCTGTTGGTGCCAGGGATGGACTCAGTAACCTTCTGGCAGCCTTTCTCTAAAACAGTAATTCATTTAGCACTAAAACATGTAAGGAAGGAAATATATATCCAATGTCCTGATATTATTTTTCAGCTAGGAAGCCAAATGTAGTCCCAAGAAACCAATTTTCAATTCTACACAATGAGAAAAATTCATAACCTTATTGGGTTTAACTAAATCCAACTTTTTCTAGCTTTCCATCTCATTCATAACAGCCTTGTTTTCTTGTATCTAGGCTCTAAAGCTGTCATTTTACTGGAATAACATCCCATGTTCCTGCAGCCACTTGAAAAAATGGCTATGCACTTTCAAAATAAAGTTTCTAGTCTTTATAATATAGGCCCCATGCACAACCAGCAATCAAAACCTGACTTAAAAGCTTTGGCAGACACTGGACTCTAGAGAATGTGAGCCATGTGGTGTGCTGAGTACAGTGGCATATTATGTTTTTTTTTTGTTAATGGTTTAATGATTTCTTTTCTTGCTATGGTGAATGGCGCTATGGTATGGTAAACAGGATCAGACTATCCTGTTGCACCACTGTGCACGCTTTATGCTTGGCTATATAATGCTAACATCAATACCTAAGTGATGGCACTTAAATAAGGTTGAACTGCTGGATTTTGAAAGAATACTTATTTGTTTCATGGTGTACCGACATTGTAATATTATGATATTAGTGTATATTGCATCTCAGCTATCACTCTTTCAGATGGTAAAATATTCTGTAGGTTTATGTTGCACAATCAGTGTCAGTAAATAAATCAGCAACAATAAGACTTTGCTGAAAAAAAAACATTACTTCAAAAACAAAGAAAAATTGAACACAAATAGCATCTCGAAAGATTCCCACAATGCTTTTTAAATGAGGAAATCATCCAAAACTGCATGTTTATCTTAAAATTTTATGAAAATTTTTGTTTATTATTTAAATTATGCGTTTTACAATAATAAAGTTATGATTTTACTTGCATAAGTGTTTTATTACAGTATATGACTAATCACCTACTGTCTCAGTGTAGAGACTGATAGCACAGTGCTAATGACAGTAATTTATACAATGTTTACAACTCTGTTTATGTACATAAGTACCACAGTGTTTAGAGTATGGTGATCTATTTTACAGTAGGTTTTTCATCCCCCCACTCTTCACTCATTCTGGGATGATTCACCAGACTTTGACTTCCAAGGAAGAAGGCCTGGGCTATAGCTTTGAATCATTTTAATTGTATGTTGACAGCCTTGGCACAGAAATTTTTAATGTCTCCTAAGTAACGGCAAGTGTATTTCAACATGATAGTCTGTGTTTAGGCATCATGATTGAAAACATATAGATATATGGAGTGCTATTAACATATTGTAGACATATCAAAAAATCCAAAGGTTATAAAACTCAGGACTGAAAGTCATAAAGACCCAACTGCATCAAAGAGGAAGAAATAAATTCAGTATAATCGCATGCATGTCACTTTCCTGGAAAAGCTTGTATATCATATCCTTTTTAGTATCTGATTCCACTCAATGGAAAAAAACATTAACAAAGTGGGTTTGGGTGGTTAGATGTATATATGTTCTGAAAACTGCCAGATACACATGACATGCTGTTGTGTAGTTCAGATGATGTTTTTAGCTCCTGGTCCTGATGTTACAGTTCACTGTCTTTATGAGGGACTGGGCTTAACTAACTCTTCTGGTAGAAATGCTGTAGTTAAATCCAGACAGTGTCTATTGACATTGAGGAAATCACTCATCCTGTTAAAGTCTACTTATTTACCCGCACCAGGAATGATGCCAGTTGCATAGAGTCAATATGCAATAATCATGAGCCATGTTTAACATTCTTGTGCTCTAGTTGGTACTCATTCCCAAATGCATTGATTGGAAAGTGTTGCAGTAGCTACATATGGTAGGCAAATCAAAAGCAACCCCATAAGCACCTAAGGAATTGATTTTCCTCTCCAGCCTTGGCATCTCATGCCAATGGCTTAAGCTGGCCCTCTTTCTTCTTCTCTGTGTTCGGAGTTTAGCTGTCAGTTTACCATAGATCATGGATACATTGTATAAAATATCTCAACAATCTTTTTGCAACTGCTGTCCGTTTGCCCACATGTGTTCCTGCCAAGCTGCCCTGATTCACAGAAGTCTTAAGACGCAGGAATTTGGCCTTGCCCTCACACTCGCACCGACAAAACCTCAGTTGGACAGTGGTATCTTGCATAACATACCAACAAAGTTACATATGAATAAACACAGTCACATGCCGGCACACACACAAACACAGATGGTTCATGGAGAAAATAGAATTGGGCAACAAAACCAAAACAAAGAAATAAAAAAAAACATTTTGCCAAAAGTGTTAAATGCCTGCCTCTTAAGGAATCCGTGACACATTTATTTTCCTGCCTTCACAATATTCTGTGTTTAGCCTTAAATCGACAGCTAAATCCATCCAGCCTCATCTTCATGAAGATGGTCTGTCTTCTTTAACTTTATAGAATATGTATGTAATTTCCACTGTTAGCATCCAGGCCTTAATTTTTGGATGCATCTTCACAGACAGGAAGCCCGGCGCTCGGGTTCTGTCTCTGCGTGGTAATTTTGGCCTGTTAACTGAATGGTCATTGACTCCCAACTCACTCTTACCCCCTGCTTTCCCTCTGTAGTCTGTACTCATTTACCCCTTCACCAACTAATCCCTCCATCCTCCCTGACATCTCAGGAAGTGTTAGATATCTGCCTCCTTGGAGGAAGTTTAGGTTCTTATAAGCACTTGTCAATTAATTGGCACTGAGTCAGTTTACAAGGCAGATTACTCATCTCTGTAGAACGTGAACTAAACCTTCAACTTCCTTAAACAACAATAAATTAAGCTGTAGTGCGGCCTTCTCATCTGCGGAGCTGAATCGCATCATGGTTCAGTGTATGTGTTTATGCTTTAGTGGAAATATGTTTTATCTTTTTTTAGTTTTAAATTTCAGTTTAAATTCAACAAAAAATGCTACAGTTTCACAAAAAACACAACAGGACATAATTTTAAGAAAGCAAGTGTGAGAGGACTCCCAGAAGACCCGTGTGCTCCCCCTCTCTCACACTGTGTTGACAGGCTTGTTTGAGGGGAAATAAACATTTAAAAGGGAGAATCTGTGTGCCATGATGCAGCGTAGAATATACAGCAGATTCTACGCCATATATTAATACATAGTGCAACACAAACACACATTGAAATGATAATCAACTTATAACTCTTTTATTATCAGAACTATTGCCTTATGTGTTTATATGTCAGTTTATTGTAGCCAAACTAATGTTTCACCCTGCTGAACAGCAAAAAGACCCAGCCTTGTCTCTTCAGATCTGACCTAAACAACACTGAGCAGTGCTGCCAAGAGCAAAGGTAACCTCAGACCCCTTTTAAAACTACATAAAACACACAGTTAACCCCTGATGCTGCAGCTCACTGCTTTTAAAAAATAAATGTCCACTGTGGTGGTCATGAGGGAGAAAGTGACGACAAACCCGTCCTCTTTCATGGTCCAGACTACAGAGCTGAGCTCTGCAATGAGATGTAAAGAGCAAGACACATAAAGACGAGCTTCAGCCCCAGGTGGCAGGGATAAAAACATCACTCCAGAGGTTTATCATTGTATATCACAGACAGTTCTCCAGCCACGCTGGCAAGTGATACATGGAATATTCTAGCTATCCCTGCTCTTTTCTAATAGACTTAGTCACAGCGCACATCTGGAGACCCTCAGTGATAAAGTGTGCGTAGGAAGAATAGAAAAATATGCTTTATTGATACTTATTTCATAGTGTCATGGAAAAAAACTGGTCATAGTTCAAGAGATGAGACATAATGTTGGAGCACAGGGAGATATATGGGAGATGAAATACATCCAGACTCAGTGTTTTCAGTATGGAACATCTCTGATGTTTTGATTGAGCCTATTGTCAAATTTACATTTACTCAGACTGTGAACAGTAATGAGAACAAGATGGGACATGATTTCAAATTATGATTCAAATTCTGACAGCCATACATGTGAACCCTGCACTATGTGATTTAACAGCAGAAGAAAGTTTTTCTCCATAAATTACAAGATGTTGCAGTATGGCAGCTACATCACCAAATATGGAAACTGAAGCTGTGAATATCCATTTGAACAGTGACCGGCCCTGATGCCCGCACACCAGACTCCTCCTGAAGTCTGCTGCTGTGGCCGCTAGAGAGCGACGGGAACCAGGAGACGGAGCCCCAAGAGCAGCGGCCGCAGGCTTCAGGTGACAGGCAGAACAATCAATTAAACCAATTACGCTTCAAAGGAAACATGGTCGGACTAATAATGGTGGAACTAATTACACTTACTGAAGGCATCATGAACGTGCCATAGTTATTAAGCTGGAGCATGGAGCGCTGGATTTGGCCGAAATCAATCAATCAATCAATTTAAGAATAACTCCCAATTTTTTCACAGAAATTAATTAATTACTGCATAATCTTCATAATATCTGTAGAAAATTAGAGTCGGGAGTGTGGAAGTTGGTTGGTTTAATATCTGTATTATATTTAATAGTCTTTTTTCAGTCTGCGGTGACTGTTTAAGGTGCTTTAGATTTGCTCTTGTTTTAAATTATGTAACAGAGAAAGAAAAACACATCAAACGTCACCTGTAATTTATTTTGTTTTATGTACACAGACTCACATTAGTGGAACCCGGTGTTCCCAATGTTCCCGGTCGTGCGCGTTTGGTGACCTACAAATCTACCAGTTTACTACAAATAATAATAATTTTCCTGTCATTAATTTGATGTAGAAATGACTGAATATTAGAAGATGCAGAATGTGGACTGGAGACCTTTGTGACTTTGTGACTTGATGTATGTCTGAGTAAAACAGTCGAATAAATGCTGCTAAGTATAAAAATAAAAGGAAAAAAAAAAGAACAGAGAGACGGTGCTGAATGTGTTCAAACACCTGGCAGCATCGTGCCGTACTTCACTTTACTCACGTTTATGTTGCCGGTGCCTGGAGCTGCTGTGCTGCTGACAACCAGTGTAATCCATGCAGTGCAAGATGATCAAAACAAAGGAGATCAGTTGTAATTGCATAGTAGCCCAGAGATGAGACTCGTAAAGCCAATGTCAATGTTCACTAACACTTATGGATAAGATTCCGTTTTCTTCCCCCAGACGGAGGCAGGAGGTGGAGGGTAGATAATTCCTAGACACAGCAGGACCCCCAGCTATGTGGTGATATGTGGTGATGGTAGTGTACGGTGGCCCAATGATGCCTGGGCCGCTGAGACTGTAACATCTTGGAGAGGCTCTTTATATGTGCCAAGAAAGCCAGACTGAGTCAGGGATCCGTTATCCGTGCTGTGATAAAGAGCATTCCCCCCGAAAACCAAAAAAACAACAAACACACCAAAAAGCTCGATTTTCATCCGGTGCGCGCAGGAGGAGAGCAGCGTCAAGCATTAGTGTTGGTCAAAAAGATGAATAGAGTTATTGATTACTGACATGACTCTCAAAAAGTTTGAGTTATATATATCCATCTGTAGAACTCCAAACGGACCCCTCTCTCCCTCTGTCCGAGTTACTGAGTGGAGATGCGCCGTGCGTCCCGGTGTGTGGATACCTTAATGCGTAAGGCGCGCTGAGGGTACGGGCTTCATCTCAGCATCAGCTGAAGCACAACAAGAAAAAGCCACCACAGAGCAAACACGAATAACTACAAAACCAAACTCTAAGTGAAATATTTCACAGTTCTTTTGGCTGTCAAACGCACACCTCCTCTCTCGCTCGCAGTCGGCGGCAGGCAACTGAACCAAAGTAAACCTCCGCAGTTTCAGCGCTTTTCTGCTTTGCGTGCGGGACCCATTCACTCCCCTCCTGCCGGCCCGCTGATGACTTCAGCCCTCTGCTGTGTCTCTGTCTCTCTCTCTCCCCCTATGAGCTCCAAAGTTTATTTAGAGGGCAAGCCCCCCGCGTCAGAGTGAGAGAGAGAGAGAGAGGGAGAGAGAGAGAGACATACTGAAGTTATTTCAGTGAGTAGTGTACTGTTGCCTCCATGTGCTGCTAAACCGGATCTGAATGTAGCAGCTATTGATGTGACTGACCCGAAAAAATTCACCTGTGACCAGTCTACCTCTCACTAGTAAACAAAGTTTTTTTTCCGGTTCAAACTTACATTAAGTGTCATGTCATTTGAATCGTTGTACCCAGTTAACAGAAAACCAATAATCATCTTCGAAAAGATTTGATTTAGTTAAACACATTCCAGTAGCCTGATTACATCAGTGCTGATGGCAGATGCCAGTCAAGATGCCATTTTGTCCCATTAGATCATTTTTCTTCTGACTCCTTCTCCCCAAAGGTTTTTGTGTGAGTGAGAGAGAGGTGTTTGTTTTCAAAGTCAGCGCTTATTCTGACTGAGATGATATTTTATTCATACAGAAATTCACTCAGATATTTTGGATTTTAAAGTGACTCTACTGTACTGTGGATTTTTCAGGATATATCAGAACACTACTCTCTAAATTTACATCAATAAAAATAATTATTTCAGTAAAGGATTAGGAAGTTTTAATAATGTTAGCCTGCTTTAAGTCTGCATATTGATTTTCAGTTATGGCATCTGAGATTGATCTGCAAAAATGCACCTAAAGCTTTACAGATGTTTACAGATGTAATATATGAGCAGAGAGTTAAGAGAGAGTCGGATCACTTCTGTTCCCATGCAGACATCTGCATTTTGTAAAATGAATTTCTTGACTGGAGGTGACTGTTTGGTGTGGAGAGAGAAAATATTCAAGTTGACATCAGCTGAACCAGCAGCATCTCATCTTATTACCTCTAGAGGGAGTTAGTTCCATAAAAGCTTGAGGCACATTGTCACGACAGAGGCATCGATATCAGTCAGTTATGGTAAACTTTGGGACTTAAACTTTTCCTATCGAGTCCAAATGTGATCTTGTTTGTGTAGTTTCAATATAGAGGAAAGATCAAGAGAAACATGGCCTTTAAAACTTTTAAAAAAATGACACCTGGGAAGCATTCAGGACTTGTTTTCCCTTTCAAGCATTACATTGAGCAAATAATAATACATTATCCATCATCAATCATTGCTCCATCCGTCAGCAAAGCCTCAGCCTGCACATTTAAAATTTTTGGTGATAAATATACTCTTAAATGTAGAGACTTCATTCCTCCGGGTTTTGTCAATTGCAGCCTCTGGGGATCAGAGCAGAGCTGTGTAAAGCAATGCCGAAGCCTCATTTGTCTAACTAGTATGTTGATGTTTAGGGGGAACAGTATGCACGAGTCCAGTGCTTCTCTTCACTGTGGCTTCTGGTCTTCCATCAGTCATTGTGCTGGCGAAAGCAATGCAAACACAGTGTGGGCTCTTTCTTCATGGGAATACTTCCCTGTTTGTCCTGTGCTAACTCAGGACCAAGCCACTGACACATAACAGAGACTGATGCATTGTTTTAAACCCTTTCACCTTCACTGAGACGGACTGCTGAATCCAAACTTTACGCTGGATATTAAGTGACACATCCTAGTTAAGCAAGTGGCTGTAATATGCAAATTTGAAATGCATTTTTTCTGCCGAATTTTTTAGAAATAGATCTATAATTGAACAGAAATATATGTAAAATATTACAGTGAAATGTTATGAGAAATAATTAAATTTCCCTCCTCCCTCTCCTCTGTCCCAGCAGTTTAGCTTAAGGGATGTAGAAGAATAATACTCGTCTTTGTGTCCCAGTCTGAACTAGCCCCACCATCCCCTGGGGGTAGGAGCATGTGTGTGTGTGTGTCTGGGTGTGTGTGTGTGTGTGTCTGGGTGTGTATGTGTGTGTGAATGTGTGTGTGTGTGTGTGGCACTGGGGTGCGGAAGGTTAAGGTCACTTGGTCAGTCCCTGTGACCGTCCAGTGAGAGAATCAGTCGACACCTGTAAATGAAGTCGGGCAGGTGCATAAACCCTCCCGACCAAGGGTGGATGCACACTACACATTTTTTTTCCCTTATACCACATCAAGTCCTATTTTATTCTTAATCTAATTTCAGCCTTGTTTTCAGGGGGCATGAGAGTGTATCCCATCATTCTTGCTGGTGCATAATTTGGAACAAATTAAAGTTAACACAAATATTCTAGTCTTATGCAACAAATTCTTAATGTTTTAGTTATGTGTTTTGGACACACATCTGAAGAGAAAACATTATCATTAATATTGGCTAAAAACATAAAAATCCACCACACGGCAGACTCAGTGAAGATACAACATCGGATACGAGAAAAGAATGAGACCTTTATGATTGATTTAAGTTTTTAATCCAGTGCAAATATTGAACTTCCTCAGCCCAATGTTCTTACAGGTTTTTAATGACGTTCTTTTTGGACAAGTTAACTGCAAAAACTAGCTTAAACAAGCTTGCAATCAGTGCGTTCATCACAGCTAAACAGTGAATCTTCACCCAAAAATACCAAATATTCCATGGTGAAGTGCAGGGTAATAGAGATATATACTTTTCCATGATGCAGCCATAAAAATGGTTAATATTTTACTCAATATAAACATGACTCAGCTGCATCTAAACACTGGGTCAAGCAGATACAGACGATCAACCCTGTGTCCTTAAGATTATCATATACTATTAAACTGTCTTACCAATTACATTGTGGTGTCAACGTAAACACTGGCAGGATTCTGTTAAGAGGCAACTTTCTTTTTCTAAATGAATGAAATGCGACATTTACTGCATCAGAGTTGCCAGGAGGTGGTTGGGGAAGATGGTGGTTGCACAAAGTACAGGATTGTCACACTAGTTTTCCCATCCACAGTCCTGTCTGTGGTAAGGTTTAGGCAACAAAAGTACTTTGGTTAAGGTTAGGGAAAGATGGTGGTTTTGGTTAAATGTAAATAAACATGCCATGTCTGGAGTCATTGTGAACTTTTTCTGTATTAAACAAGACCATGATCTTTCCTTAACCTTAAGCAGTGGTGTGCAGTTGGTTTATCAGAGCTTTTTAGCTGCTGCCTCCAAATGATGCTGATAAGAGTGATGTAGTAAAGCAGAAGAGGAAAGGTGCAGGTGCTAGAATAAAGGAAATAGAGCTAAAAGAGGCGAAGGTGCTCCACAGAAATGAGGGGAACAACAGAGCTGGTTTATAGTTCTCTGAAGGTTTTTAACTACAGGCGACACAAGAGTCATTTCTTCCATTGTTAACATGAAAATATTGATTAGAGCAACTTTAACGTGAATGTCAGAGTTGAAAAGACAGCAATTCAAAGGGTATCAAGCTAATTACGCTTATCGTTCCCCAGCATAGGCTAGGAATATCATCCAGTTAAGTAGATGCCCAGCTATTATACTGATATGACATTGAACAAATCCTTTTACCTCGACCTCATCATGAAAATCATGCTCTTAATCCTCAACTGCATCAGAGTAGCAAACATACCACTTCACCACAAAGCTCATACCTATGAACTCCAAACTATTCATTCACTGGCCTATGACTCATAAAATTCCCAGATGACAGTGACAATGTTGATCCACTGTCTTGTCATCAGCTTATGAATTAGGCCGGGCTCAGTGTGGACAGCAATTGATAGCGCGTGCCTCACTGGGGTCTGTGAAAACATAGTGGCTCAGTCTGTGGCCTTATACCTTATACGCAGGTTTTTCTGATGTTGCATCGACTAAAGCTGCAAATACCCCAGTGGCAATCCTGCACATTCTCTCAGTATGAAGCAGGCAAAGAGAGACCATGACATGGGGCAGCAGAGGTTGGACAGTGTTATGAAAATAGACAAGCATGAGCACGCACACATAGATAAATACAGGATGGAAAAGTTCGAATAAATAATTATTGATTCCTGAAATTCTATTATAAAGGATTAGATTAATATAAACACGGCTAAGACAGGTGCATGTGTTGTGGGGCGGAAGGTGGTACAACCTTCTCTTAAGTGTGTGTGTGTGTGTGTGGGTGTGTGTGTGTGTGTGCGTGTGCGTGTGCACGCTGCGGTGATTGAGGGGATCATTTTATAGTAAGAGGGATTGAGAAGATAGTCAAGGACAGATAATCACTCTGAGCAAAAGCTGGCTGTCAGCTGTACACACACAGGGAAAGCAGGTCAGAGTTTTGTATAGAGAAGGTCAAAAGAGAACGGTTTGTGTGTGTGCTTGTGTGTGTGTGTGTGTGTGTGAGGTGAAAGTAGGCAAATTACCACTGGCTCCCATCTTGACCTGCATTTCCCGCAGATAAGGAAACATAACAAACCAAATAATAAAAAAAACCCCACCTCAGTCTGTTTCCACCTGTTTCCATTTGTCTTTATGCTAAGCTAAGATGACATGCTGCTGACAGTAGAGTCATATTTGTCAGACACAAGACTGTCCAACTATTTTTTCAAACGTACTGCCCGAACGAGTTTTTGTGAATGCTGCTAACGCTAACCCCACAGTGCATCAGGGTCTTCTCAAACATGTTAGCATAGCATTTTCTGGATGTGTTGTATGTATTTGTTCATAGATGATCAGTGTGAATGTGAATGCATGTGTTGTGTGTGCTTCATGTGGATGTGAATGTACTGAAGTACCGTGTATTTTACCATGGAAGTGACCCCCAGGAGGAATCCCCTCAGCAGGCCTGACTAATTTGGCCATGAGCGCGGCATTAACTACACATTCCTTCCGAAGTGGTGTCTCCACTACCCTCTCCCCCTCGACAGCAACACTTTAAATAAACTGAGCGCAGGACTGTTAGGAAGGGCCACCACTTTCTGTGTCTGACCCTCGGTCCAACCTCAACTGATGTGTTTCCGCTTCTTTTTAGCTTCCTTTTGAAAAACGTGACTGCCCAGTGAATTGTCAAAGTGGCTAGTATGACA